AAACCCCCTTTATTGCCGACATCCCAACAGAACCAAGCCCTGGAACCTGCATGGGCCCCGCAAGCCACGCACCCCTTGATCCCGCAAAAAAAACCCATCACGTGTAAACCCAAAACCCTAAACCCTAACCCTAAACCCTAAACCCTAAACCCTAAGCCCATCGTGTGCTTGGGCTGGGGCCGAACGTTCTGAATTTAGGTGGTTTCGGGTCGAACCTCTTGGGTCACCGCGAGTTCGCTTGGCAAAGGCTCCCTGAGCGAGTCGCTACAATAGCTGGCTGCACACCAGAGGCCCAAAGGGCAAGCGACCATCTGCGATGAGCATCCGCTGCTCTCATGGGGATTGGCTAAAGAACTTTTGAATACAACTTAATAAATCCTCGCCTTTTGCTGTTCAGGGTGTAGGGGTGCAGGGCTTTACCTTAACCCTGAGCCTTGAGGACTACAGGCTTGGGAGTTGAAGGTAAAGTGTAAAGTCTTCAAGGGGCTGGTTGTAGAGCTGATATCCAATAGGGAAAGGCCTACCGAGGACTTTGTAGGGCTTAGGATATTCAGGTTGTGGACGCAGGCTCAAACCGCCAGGTCCAGGCCACCGACAAGTGCAAGAAACGAGAGGAGGGCTGCCCAAACCGTATACACCCTCGCCAATAAAATCCTCAACCACCCATTCCTGAACCCTGAACCTGGGGAAGTCAACGCCGAAAAACCAAACCAGGCTGTTAAGGACCCAGGGCTTTGGGATTTAGAGCTTTCGGTGCACTTCGGAGATCTTACAGTTGAGGGTTCGGCGTCTCGGAAGCTCAGGCAGAAGATGAGTGTCCTCGACCCTCGAAACACAGTCAGCCACGAGGCTTGAGAGAAGGTTTGTGCAGCACAGCGGTGAGAACAGCCCGGGTGCCGAGCGAACGCCCGAACAACAAGGGAGTGTGTTGGGAGCCCTCTATGCCCTCCATGCCCTAAATGACCTAGCGCATGCATACCCAAAACTCTGTAAACAAGCCCCTACACGCCTAAGTGCCCTTGCACACAGTCTTCAACCCTGCCAGCACTGGGCTTAGTATAGCCTAACGAGAATAAACGCCAGATACTAAGACCATCGGAGTTTTTACATTCGTCCTACTTGTAAATCTCCCCATGAAGCTCCAAGAAGGACTGTTGCGGAGTCTTGAGAGCAGCCAAGGCTTCAAGCCATTCGGGGGGGGCCTTCGGGTCTTGGTGCATAGGGCTCTTGATTACAAAGTGTGTTAGGCTCAACATCATCGTGGAGGTTAAGCTTCGTGTTGGAAGTGTAGGGTTCGGGAGTTGAGGGTCTAGGGAGCTTAGGGTTTTAGGGTTTAGGGTTAGGGGCGTTGGGGGGGTTTAAGCATGTAATGTATGGGGTCCGGTTCAAAGAGTATATACTTTGTGACACGTCTCGTACTCCCAACGTCCGCCCCGATTTTTTTCGAGCTTCGATGGCCCCGGGAGAACGAATCGATAATAACATTCAAGAGATAGCCAGAAGCAATGGTCAGCTTTAAAGCTGGTTCTGTGGCTGTCACCGAGGTCCCTGGAATGACTTCTATGAAAATTTGTTGTTAAAGCCCTCTAAACCCCAAGATTCTAAGCCTTCGAAGCCTAATCTTCGATGAGTTCCTAGGGGCGATTCCGGGGAACTTCACGACGCTGAAGCCGTAGAGTCGCGAGCAACTCTTGTGAAGTGTGGCTCCTTGGAGCTACACGGACTCCTCACTGCAAGCTTTGAGATGAGGATGCTAACCAACACCCGCCGTGAAAAATCGACCGGTGAGGCGAAGAGACGAGGCCCTCGGAAACCGAAAACTCTGAGGATAACTCTGCGGTCATCAAAAGCCGTTTGAAAACCCTCTACCAGCTTCTATATATGGTGATTTCATCTACTTTCTGGTCCCTTGGTGGGGCCCTTAGTTTTAAGGCGGCCCCTCTTCCTTAGGGTGCCCCAGAACTGACCATAGAAGGTTCAACCATGAGCCCTGCACAGCAAACCATCAACGACAGGCCACAGGCCTTATAAGCTCCCCAGCACCCTGGACCCAATATGGACTTTAGGCCGACGAGCCCTCTGAGACTCGTCTTTCTCCACCATACGCGCTATATCGTCGTAGTTTCATATGGTCAGCTAGCTCTCTTCTAAACCCTAAGCCCCAAAACCCTGGTGCTTCAATGGACCCTGCTTGCAGGAGCTCTGCCGCCTAAACCCATGAGAATAATGATGAGGGGCTTGGGGTTTGGGGTTGAGGGATTTGGGCTTAGGGCTGTTAGACCCCTGAAGCCATGCAGACATGCCTCAGGTACGGTGGTTTTCGAGGCCATCGCAGAAGATTTCGTCTGGGTGCCGCGGCGAACCCTGCCAACCTACCACAACCCTCACAGGGGATCGATCCTGGCAGAAGGAGGTATTCACGAACCATTTCAGAAGAAATTTTGAAACCCCCTAAGACCTGAATTAGGTTCAGTGTTGAGGGACCAAGGATTCGGACCTGCAGAGCAGACAGCTGACGTCAGACGACACCTTGACCCTATAAGAACAACGTGTGTACTTGGGCCTTATTTCACCATAACTAAACACACACACAATTCCCAAGGCGACTACAGAAACCCTAAATCCTTTGCACTATGTGCTGATTTTTCACTTAGGCAGGGTTCTTGAGAGCCGGCCTCCAGAATAACGGGGCCACGGAAGTCTATATCCAGGAAACCCCCTCATGTGAACCCTAAACCCTAAACCCTAAACCCTAAACCCTAAACCCTAAATCCTAAACCCTAAACCCTAAACCCTAAACCTTAAGGAGTTTCCAGTTTCCTGGGGTAGTGCCAAAGGACCCCAAACTTCAACGCGCTTCGACGATGCTGTTCTTCGGACAGGTAAAGGCCTCGGCTGTCAGGTTCTTGGGGCTCGGAAGAGGGCCCAATGCTTACTAAAGGAATAGCTTAAATTGCAGTTTAGGGTTTAGGGTTTAGGGTTTAGGGTTCAGGGTTTAGGGTTTAGGGCTGAGGGTTTAGGGGATCTTCACCTGAAACATGGGCCATGCGCTTCTTGGGCTCTCCGGGGAGGGTTGTTAGGGGTTGCGGATCTTGTCGGATCGTTTTGGGATTTCAGCGCGCCTGGGGACTTCAGGGCTTGTAGGGTACATGTCTGTTTGAATCTGCTTTATGTAGGCATCGTACTCCTGCATCATTGCAGCATCTTAAATGGGGAACCCAAAACCCTAACCCTCTAGCGATGGCGAGGGTTCTTCTCCGACTGTTGAAGACAACGGAGGAGCAAAGGTCTGAAGCTCTAAAACCTTTGGGGTCTCCAACTCGGCGCGGAATATTGGGCACAGTAAAGTTTAGGGCTTAGGAAAGTTTAGGGTTCGGGACACCCCAAACCTTGGCCCAGCAAAGCCTTCTTTCGGAATCCTTGAAACCCTTCAGCCCGCAAGCCCCCACAACCCCACAACAAAATGAGGCGAAGGGGGTTTTAGTTAGCGATGGCCATTTCCATTTAGGTTATAGTATCGTCAAGCCCCCGCATTATCACCCTAATTTTCACAATTCGTGTACCCCCCCCCCCCCCCTATGAATACCCAAAGAATCATAAGAACATCCCCCTACCTCTACCCATCCCCTTGAAAATCCATATTCCCCATCATACATCCCCGATACCCGATAAACCTAAATGGAAATGGCCATCTTCTAATGATTTGTAAGTAAGATCCATAATGAAGTTATAACTTGTGATAGCCTAAGGATTATAACTTCATTATATTTATGAATGCATTATCCTATATAGTGAAGCATATGATGCCTTTTCGGTGTCTGTTGTCGTTGCTTTCGGTTGGCAACATCAACAGGAATTTCAACGATTATTCGGTCTTTATGTTTGCCAAATAGCAGAAAGTAATCTTCGAGAAACTCATCGTTCATTAGCAACTGATGAACGTGATTAAGTACTGTATCTATATCTGGCTTATGTTGTTCAGGATCGGGTTGTGCTTCTACTGTTCCTCTTCATCAACAAATTTGTTAGGAAACTGTTTGTTTAATCGTTTGCGTATCTCCAGTTTTTGTTTGTTATATTCTGCCTTAATTTGCTCTTGTATTCCATCGTTTAGTCTACCAGGGACGGCCTACATTTCTAAGCTTTGTGAGCATTGGGCTCATGCGGCACTTCATGTTTGGTCAGTGGCGGTACGCTGGCATCTGACCATTATTCCGATTCCTAACATGCACCAAAGCATGCGGGTCAGAGATGCCCCGCCATAAGAGCCAGATGCTTGATGGGCTGAATGCGTTTACAAAGCACGCCAGACCTGAGAAGGCAGTACTACGTCTTCAGAACACATTCATTTGAACTCAAGTAGGCGCTCCTGGGATGTCGTCTTCTCTGTCGTCGCGGTGGTCGTCGGAGATCAGAGTCTGGGATACCCTTTCAAACATATACAACTCGTTTCAGATGGCCTTTTCCGTGCTGGTAAGCCCCTACGGTCTAGGGGGAGGTTGATAGGGAAGAGCGTTGTTGGACCGGGATATGGGATAGATGATGGGGAATATGTTGGATATGTTAGGGGGTATTGGGATAGCATATACCTTACTTACAAATCATTAGAATATGGCCATTTCCATTTTTGTTTATAGGGCATCGGGGATGTATGATGGGGAATCTGGATTTTTCAGGGTATGGGTAGAGGTAGGGGGATGTTCTTATGATTCTTTGGGTATTCATAGGGGGGGGGGGTACACGAATTGTGAGAATTAGCGTGATAATGCGGGGGCTTGACGATACTATAACCTAAATGGAAATGGCCATCGCTAACTGTTTTTGGGTGAGGGCCTGGGGGCATGAGGGCCGGCGATTGCGATCCTAGAACAACTTGGAGGTTTCCGAAATTTGGGGTACCTTATTGGGGTCCTTAGTCATGAGGGGCTCCTACTATTTGAGGGTCTATGATACGGGGGGTCCCTTATTTTTGTAAACCCCCCACTTGGCACCGGGCAAGCTCAGATGGTCATCTGGCGCTGCATGACCTTGCTGGATGATTCGGCTCAGCGGGGCACTCTGCAGTTTAGGCCTTAGGGCTTAGGGCTTAGGGTTTTGGGGGTTGTAAGTGTTTTTTTTGTGTATCTACAAAGGGCAAGAGCGGAGCTTCGTGGAACCTCGTAAAGGGGACTGTCTCATAATTTCGGCTTCCTTCTCAAGTTCCCACTATTTTGTTTGGCAAGGTGGCTCTGGGCTTGTCTCGCCTGGGGGGAAGGCGAGGGGGGGGGGGGGGGGCATGTGCTGAGAGACTGACTGCCCCATGCTGTCCGAAAAGCCGCGGAGGAGGATTAACGCTGAACCAAAATTAGCCACTATGCCCTCGGACGTCGGTAAGCAATGAAGCCGCAGAAAAGCTGCAGAAGAGCCTAAAGGAGCAGACGTGCGAACCCTCACCCCCAGGCAAAGCATCCTGGGGCTGACCAGAGGGGTCCTGAAGATCGGACATTTGTCGTGCTACAAGTAGTTAGGAACTGCTCATCCGGCACCCAAAGGAGCTTGTAGATTAGGTTTCCATAATGGGTTCATAAAAAGGGCAATTGAATTTAAGTTCCTTAACTGACTAGAACACAGTAGTCTTGTTCTTCCTTTGGGACATCGAGTTCCGCGCGGGCGGCTCTCCGAATACGGAGTCGCAGTCGTCATCGTCTTCGCAGCCAGATCGCCTTGCGCTAGAGCTGCACAAGTAAAATAATGCGCAAGGGTTTAGGGTTTATAGGGCTTAGCCCTGTCCCAGCCCTTATTTGTGGCTCTTCTCAACTACTCACCACAAAAGTTGGTGCTCACAAAAAGAAACCATACTCAAGGGTCCGGGTAAGCCCTTTACAAAAAACGGTCGACTGACGCGGGTGCAGCACCACTCGGCAGTTTCTGCACACAAAACCATGCTGCATCCCTGACACCCAGAAACAAGATCTGGGGGGCGGCCTTTTGGGATGTTGGGTAACGCAACCCAAGGCGAGAATCCCCAAAAGCTCAAACATCCTTGCTGGCACGGCTGGCTTCGGATTCCTGCTCCGCAGTCTCAGGGCCCCTAGACCTGAACCCTGCACTCCCCAAACCCTAGAAACCCCTAAAACCCTAAACCCTATGAACCCTCTAAACCCTCAAAACCCCCGAAACCCTGTAACCCTATAAACTCTAGAAACCCTAAACACCCTAAAACCCTAGAAACCCTCTAAACCCTTAAAACCCTATAAACCCCTATAAATCCCTATAAACGTATACCCTATAAACTCTATAAGCCCTATAAACCCAAAACCCTACATCCTATAAACCCTGTAAACCGCCAACCCGAATCCTGGCCAGACCCCAGGCCCTGCAGGCCTTCGAGAATCAGCTATTTATGTGGTTTAGGGTTTAGGGTTTAGGGCTTGGTGGCCCCAGACCCTTAGGATTTAGGGTTCAGGGCTTAGGGCCCCGAACCCCAAGACGTGAAGGGTTCAGGGTGTGGGGACTGGGCACATGCGTACAATGATACAACTCTTAGGATGTGGATCGAGGGATTTTCTGAGGCACTAGGATGGTTTAAAGGAATCTAGAGAGAAGAGGTTTAGGGCTTAAAAGGGTTTAGGGTTAAAAGGGTTTAGGAATCTCGAGAGCTTCGGGGGGAGGAGGGTCGCCGTTTAGGGCTTAAGAGAGTTGGTACCCAGAGACTCCAAAACCCCTTAATTAAGGAATATACCTTAAATTATAATAGGAACCCGAATATGATTTAAGGCATATTCCTTAATTAAGGGGTTTCGGAGTCTCTGGGTAAAGTCCTACGGAAAGCAGCCGGCTGGGGCGCGGGCTCTGCCGCGGGCTCCTGCCCAGGATTTGGCGTGAGACTGACTACCAGGTTTTGTACAAAAAGGAACGATTTTTGAATTTTTGGGGTCCTCTAAGCCCTAAACCCTATAAACTGAAAAGCCCTAAACCCTATAAGCCCTAAACTCTCCTCAGAATCATCCGAAAAGAACACCAACCGCAGAGACTCTGGGCGCCTAGCAAAGGAGACCTGGAACACCAAAGCATACAACTGTTTTCAAGGGCCGTAGGCTCTGGGATATACACTACACACTGAAGCCCTAAACACCCGAGCCCTAACCCTAAACCCTAAACCCTGAACCCCAAACCCTACGTTCGGGATTATTTTGAAGGGCGTTCCCGGAGACGATGGTCCCCACCCACCACTTCAAAACTCCGAAGCCTTGGACCTCGAGCCCTTGACCTCCAACCCCAAACCTCAACAACCCGAAAACTCAAAGCCTAGGCCCAATAGGCTTGAGATTTCCATTAGGGGTTTGAGGTTTAGGGTTTTAATTTTAGGATGCTTCACCTGGTGCGTAAATACATGAAGGAGGGTAGGCTTCATCGGCGATGTTTGCATCTTTGCTGCTTCATCAGCGATTTTTGCATTTTGCGGGCCTGCTAATGTGCAGGGATTGGGGTTGCAGGTAAGACTACACCCTAAACCCTTAACGGATGTGTGCGCGTGTGGGGTGGGGGGGAGAGAGGTTGACGCCCGCACCTTCTCTGCTTCATCCTCGGCAGGGCTAGCAGATGTGTCGGCCTGGCGACGCGGTGTACTTGGTTCATGGGCAGCGACAAGAGCTGCAAGTATTAAGTGCTAGCCCGAACTGCATATAAACACCGGCTATAGCCACGGGGCCCCTAACTATCGGAAACTTCACATTAATATATACATATATAAATATATACATTACATATTATGCATGTGTGGAAGCATGGGGCCGGGGCGGTGCAACTAAAATGGTGTCTTAGGGTGCCTGAACACGCAAAACCCGATCCGAGCCATGCGGGAGGTTCTCTCAATGATGGTCCTTTTGGGGGGGGGGGGGGGGGGTTCCTATGATACAGGATACCCAAAAGAACCCCAAGCCGGAAACCCTAAATCTAAATCTTACACCTCTCAAACCCCTAAGCCCTCACGGCCTTGTAAACCCTACAAAGCCTACCCTGCAGAACAGCAACATCCAGAAACCCTACAAACACCCTCGAAACCTCATATACCCGACAGAAACCCTCAACGCATCATAAACTCACAAAAGAATCGAAATCTCATAAGCCCGAAAGCCATAGAAACACCTCAAAAACAGACTCAAAAGCCCCACAGAAGCCCTCCAAACCTTATCAGCCCCCTAAGCCCCACAAAATCTAGAAAAAGCCCTCAAAACCTCAATCCTCTAGAAAACCCACGGGAAAATCGTAAGCGAGCCCTGGTCGTGGGGGACAACGCCCCCAAGCCTCTGAGGGGGTCTAGGGTTTAGGATTAGGGTTTAGGGTTTAGGGTTTAGGGTTTAGGGTTTAGGGTTTAGGGTTTAGGGTTTAGGGGTTAGGGGTTAGGGTTTAGGGTTTAGGGTTTAGGGTTTAGGGCCAAGAAGGCCCTGCTGGGCCGAGTCTTCAGGCTTTCGGGCTCGGCAACTCCCGAAAGGAACCCCAACCTCCTGCTCTCACACCCCAAGCCCTAAACTTTCTGGACCCTGAAGCATTCGGAACCTCAGCCAAGGCCCCCGGCATCACCAGCCTCTGGTGGTGGCGCCCAGCCAGCAGACCTTGGAGGGGTTGGGGGTCCAGAGTATCTTGGAAAACTCTACGGTCCCTGTTCGGGCGTCTTTCTTTCTTTCTGCGCACCTAACCCCCTTTATTTAAGGGGGCCGCCCGAAGGCGTGCGTTACAGAGTGGAGGATGAACTGAAGCTGTGGAACTGCCAGGGCCTCTAAGCACTATGTGATTCTAAGCAGGAACCGGCTCCCTTTCGTTCCCTGTCCAGCTTAGTTATCCCTTCGTCCCTCCACAACATGTTGACTCCCCCAGTATGCTAGCAGGCCAGTAGTGTTCGGGTGTCTCTCTCTCTCTCTCTCTTGGTTCTTCCCTGTAGTTCTCTCAAGCTCTGGTGATGTTGTGGGGCCGGCAGTCGAAGGGGCCGTCATGTCGAGAGAGCCGACCACGTAGGGGAACACACGGACCCGGCTTTGTTGCGAACCCCTCCCAACACCCCCAAGAAACGCCCCAACCCTGGATCCCCCCCATCTTCAGGCCCCCAGCCCGCCCAAACCCTGAAGTATCACAGGGAACCCCTCTAGAAACCATAACTATGCTCCCCTTAGAACCTTAATGAAAATAATGTTATTAATATCCTCTTGGGCTTTGTATGAACAACAAAATTCCCAAGGGGGATATAGATGATAGCCAGGTGACTCCATCTGCGGCACCATCTGCTGCATCTCTACTGGCATGGCCATGACTGGGAGCTGCATGCCTGGAGAACTATGACTTTGGAGCTAAGGGCGGTTTAGGGTTCAGGGTTTATAGCGTTTATAGGGTTTGTAGGGTTTATAGGGTTTATAGGGTTTAGGGTTTGAACCTTCAATCGGGGGACTATTTAGGGTTTGGGGTTTCAGGTTGGGGGGCGAGTTTCCAGGCTTAGGGTTTCACAGGAGTGCTTCGGGCTTCAGGGGTTGTGGTCCGGGTTTCAGGGCTCGGGTTCTTCACACGGCGATAAGAAAAAATCGAGGGGTGAGGGGGAACCAGTCATCATGCCAGTTCTGGGCAAGAGAGATTGCCAGCCGGTTTGTGCCCCGAAGGTAGGCACGGGTAAGTAGGCCAGTCCATGCTGGGGATGCATGCTGCAGGGTTTAGGGTTTGGGGTTTAGGGTTTAGGGTTTAGGGTTTAGGGTTCTAAGTCATGGGGCTTGAGATGTAGCCCTGACCTAACTCTACGTAAAGACGAGAAAATCAAGTTGGACGCCGACACAACCCAAAACCCCTAAGCTCCTGCACGAAAGCACACAGCCCTAAACCCTAAACCCTGAACCCTGAACCCTGAACCCTAAACCCCAAACCCCCTGCCAAACCTCAACCCTCCTGCCGAAGCCAAGCGGCCTGAGGAAGGCGGCTGCATTCCCATCACCGGGACCATAGCCTGGTTTAAAAAGGCATCGGTAAGGCAGGCTAGTTGCATAGCCAGTGCTCTAAGTTCTGGTCCCCCCTTTTGGGGCGTTTAGATTTTGAGGGTTTCGTGCTTGTGGCTTCGATTTTCAGAGCTCAGAGTCTCAGAGCTCGCAGCTCTTCCTGGAGCCCACTTTGTGCCCAAACTTGAAGCCCAAAACCTTGTGATCCAAAAAAATTGGGTTTAGGGCTTCGGGTTTAGGGTGCCGCCAAGGCCGAACGCTCTTGAGGCCCCCGCAGTACTTCTCGGTTTCATGCCTTATTCAACCTCCAACGTTGCGATCACTAACCTCATGGGTTGGGGCTTAGGGTTGAAGGCCACATTTAGGTGAGCCCTAAACGGCCGCCACGAAACACGAATCTTTTCGAAATTCCCAGTATAGTTTCAATGATAGATCCACGCCTCGAACATCTGCACTGGCACCACCATGACTGGGATGGGCCTTGGACACAAGCATGAAGGCCGTACCTAAACCCTAAACTTTACATCGCAACACTTTAGAACACTTTTCAAGAACTCTATCAGTCCGGGAAACAACAGCGCCTTAGCCATACACCCAACTCGAGGAGTTCACGCGGCGGGGTGTGGATATTCGGCTTGATTGCTTTTTTGTTGGGGGGGGGGGGGGGGGGGGTATTGTGGTGGAATTGTATAAGAACCATATGGGAATACTATTCATAGCTTCATAGCTATTCCGACCCCTACAGCAGAGCTTCCAGGATTGTGGTGACACGGCTGAGACAGTGGCAGCTGGTCGGCCATGACCATGTTGGGGAGCACAGGCGAACACTCCTGTGCCAGACGACTGGGGTTTAGGGTTTAGGGTTTAGGGTTTAGGGTTTAGGGTTTAGGGTTAGGGTTTAGGGTTTAGGACCCGGATATCTATCTTGCGGGCTGCATCGCTAATGGCGGTATGGAGGCAAGCCTTTGGCATTTCGGATCCTAAACATCTAGGGAATCAAAATTGTGGGCTGAAATCTCTTAATCTACTCCTGATATGGCCATTCATATTTCCGTAGAGGACCTTGAAAAAGGGGCCGCCCAAGCCCAAGGGATGATCTAATGCCTCTGAACCCCAAATCCCAAACCCTAGAGCCTAAATCGCCACCAGCACCCTCAGACGTCAAGTGGGGGCTGCGGTGTATACCCATGCGAGCCGATTTTGGGGAGTGGGTATGTGGGGGTGCTGTGTGCCACCAATGTATAGGGATTCTTGAGGGGATGATATGGGTCGTTATATCCAAACTGTTGTAGAAGTACCCCCCTAAGGACATGCTTGGTTGTAGGTGATTTTGCCACCTCCGCCCCCTCCCCCATCTGCGAAAATACGGGCTCGGGCTGTTAAGGCATTTGATGTCAGACCAGCGAGCGATGGGCTGCCATGATTTGCACTTTAGGGTTCGCCGGGTTGTTGCAGCGTTAAATCCCCAGGTAGCCCAACCCAGGCTCCTAGACTCTAACAGACTCTAAGCCCTCTGAGCCCTAGCCACAAAAAAAGTTAAAAGGTGGATTCGGGGCCTGCGCTGAAGGCTCAGGGCCGAACTCCCCCCAAAACACACTCTAAACCCTAACCCTAAAGCCTAAATCCTAAACCCTAAGACCTAAACCGTCCCTGCGGCGCACCTCTAGGGGACTCTCGCTGACCGACTGCCCCGGGACAAACTCCGGCGCCTCGCAATGTTGGGTTTGTGTTAGGGGGTTTTGTCTCGGTTGCCCTGTTCCCTAAATTTGGGGGGCGGGTCCCAGTACAAGGATTATCGTGTTTTGGGGGCGCATTCGGGGACCGCCTTTTGCGAAACCCCTGTAGAAGCCCTTTTGTCGTCACATGTTGGCTTGGGGGATCATACGTCGGATCGATGGCAGAGACTCCCCCGCGAGTAGAAGCAGGACTGAGCGTCACTACCCCCCTGATCACATCCAGACTCCACTGTTCCAGCACTCGCGAGAGATGAGAATAGTCTCGAGTGCAAGGGGGATGAGGGACCCGTGTCGACCCCCGGAATTGGGTTGCAGAACGGGTGCACTAGCGAGAAGGGCCATCTACATGACCAACAGCAAGCCCTGTGCCCAAAATTTGATGCCTGAGAGATCTGACACGCAGAGGGCTGGAAGTACGGGATTTGGGCTTCTCTAGCATTTGACAACTGCTAGCACGCTGATGTTTTTGGCACTCATACACCCTGACCCTACTGGACTTCCGGGAATTTAGGTTCACAGAAAAAGCCAGTGGGCTGTGTTTTTCTCAGCCAATGTGTGTGGGCTGAGGGGGTTTCTTGAGGAGTAAATATCCCTGGCACTGCCCGGGACACTGAGGTTGTGCATAAGACATTCTCCATAGATTCCTTCCTATACACTATGCACGGTAGACACCCATGCCTCAAAACTCGAACAGGACACCCAAGACCCAAAACCCCTAAACCCCAAACCAAACCCCAAACTAAACCCTAGGCCCTTTTAAACCTTAAACCCTGCAGACCCAAAGCCTTATGACTCACAAGGGCGGCGCCTCTGCGCGCAGAGAGCTTTCTGCCACGCACGCGTCGGAGTCTGCTTCCTTGGGCTGCGACCTGGTTGTCCGGGTCATCAGGCCTACATAGCAAGGGGAAGAAGCCTTTAGCAAGCCCTGTCTTTCAGTCACAATATGATCACAATATGCATCTGGCGACAAACGGGCAAACTGAAACCCGAGACCTGGTGACTAGGGTTTAGGGGCAATTCCAGTGCAGTCATGTGGCGGCCAGCTCTTACTCTTGCCCTTCCAGACAGAGTCCGATCGCGGCTCCTTGTTGGAGGTTCCCCGTCTAGGGGTTTGCCTAGAGTACGCTTCTACACTTCAACAAAGACAAAGGGAACCAACAATCAAGGAGCATTTCCGCCTGTTCTAAGGGGTCTAGGATGTGCGGTCACGCTGCAATTCTTGCGCTTTATTGCTGCGTTGCCCGGCAAGGTCAAAGGCTTAGTTTAGGGTTTGAGGTTATGGATTCCGACAACACCGTGGCAAAATGTGCTGGGCCTGGCGGCAAGAGGCAGGTTGGGTCACAGGATAAGAAGGCTCATTTTTGTGTAGGGCACTCCAAGAAGCATCAGAATCTAGCACGCTGACCATAGACGTGTCATACGCCACCGGGAGAAGGACATACCTTATTACTCAGCTGCATGTTGCTCCAGCTATTCGAGAGATATACAAGCTTGTCGCGCCACCGATGGGAACCATCACCATGCACACGTACGAGTATGTCGAAACCCTCGCACAAAAGTGCTTCTGTGCTTCCATCATGGAAAAATCGTAGGCATGTTGGCTTAACTTTTTCGACACGAGGACGACAAGGGCCTTTGGACCATCAGATCTATCATCAACTCGTAGCTGCCCGCGCTACAGACAATCTGCTCGTCCAAACCAGCAAGTCGGACAAGAAAGAAGAAGCCGCAGGACCCTAAAACCCTACAAAGCCCTGTAAATAGGGTTATATAAGGCCTGCACCCTAAACTGAGCACAGGAGGAGGTAGTTTACCCACCTCACGCTGACACCCTTTTGACTCCTTGTGGGACTTTCCACTTCGCAAGTAATCCTCGGCTGGTCAAGATTCATGGCTCAGGGTTGTACTCGGTCGCCCAATATCCATCATGACAAAGGCGGGGAGGTGCTCCAGTTTTCTGTTAGTGTGTGTGCTATGCAGGACTGGGCTTCTTCCTGCCTATAGGGGTGGCCGTGTCTGAGTTTTACGGACTGCTGCTGCTTTATCTACAGAATTGCCAAGCCTGCAATTGACCTGGGAACGTCCTGCCCTAAATCCTAAAACCTGCCCTAAGCCCTGTGAAGCAAATTTTGGCGACCGAGCGTTGAAAAAGTCTACGGCGTTTTTTGTTTGGAGCCGCCGACTGGAAGAGGCAGTCTCCAAACCCTCCCAGAACTCCAAAAAACCTACTTGAATTGGGTCGCTCTACAATGAAAGCCTTAACCCTAAACCCTAAACCCTGCACCCGAAACCTCACCCTTGCGAACCCCCCTCCCCCCCCCTTGGCCCCTGCATCGCCAGGTCGCGAGGATTTGAGCGCCTGCCAGAGCGCCGTTGAAGCACTCGTTGGACTGCTGCACGGTGGCCTGGTCAGCCGGGTGTCGGGTCAATGGTTGAGGGTCTCGGGTGTACCAGGAAGGGCCATAAACCCCCGAAACCCTCAAAACCCCAAATCACCATGAATCCTAGACCCGAAGCCTCAACCCGGAGCCAAAGACCCAATGCAGCCCAACAGCCTACCCCTCTCAAAACAGTCTAGACCCCAACTGCCTCAAGCTTTTGTATGCTTGCAACATATCGAGATGTTTTAAATGCCTCCTCAGTTCGTTTCACTGCACTCCCCGCCCGCCCCCCCCCCCTCTCCTCCAACAAAAAAAACACAAAAACTTCCTAAACCCTAAACCCCTACAGGCCCTATAAGCCCTATAACCCTAAAGCCCCTTCCGCCTCAGGCTTCTTGAAACGCTCCTCATCCGACGTGGAGGAGGAGTGCGAGTCTTGGCCATCGGAGCTGTGAATCTCAGTGCTGTCCTCCGGGGTGGCTTTAAACCCGACAACCTTGAACCAGGGGTCTAGATAATATTTTTACTTATATATATATATATATCTAGGGGTGCTCATACTGGCTCAGTTTTTTTAGGTGGTTTGGGGGGGGGGGGGGGGGGTCGTGGTAGGGGGTCTTACTTCTATGGGAAAAAAGGGGCTAACCTTTCGGCTTAAGGGGGTTCTCGTACGCCACAAAGAAGCCAACTGAAGGTTACCTACTCCGCAGCTAAGGGGTTTGAAGCAGAGTGCTTGGCTTTGGAATTTCGGGATACGGGCTCCCGTAGGGATTTCAAGGCCAAGGTCGATGAGCTGTGTAGTAATTAGGGGTTTGTACGGGTTAGGGCCAAAGGGCAATTGGCACAGCCGGGATACTTCTCCTCAAACCCATCATCTTCTAAACCCTAAACCCTAAACCCTAAACTCTAAACCCGAAACCCTAAACCCGAAACCCGGCCTCCACAGAGGATCCTGACTCCTTCTCCTCTACCTTGGCATCCATCTTGATCTCTGCAAGCTGGGGAGTTGCCACTGCCTTTCACGCCCAGGGCTCAGGGTTTAGGGTTGGGGATGTTCCCCACTATACTAGCAGTCCTTATTAGGGGCTGTAATCGGGGGGTAATATGATCCCTATGAAGGTCGGAGGGCGAAGCGCGTGCATCAAACGAACCCTAGGGCACGGCTCATGTCCCGGTGACGAAGGAGCTTCTGGGGAGTAAACCTTCAGGGTTCATGTTTCAAGTTGGCTAATTATACCCGCTAGTCAGGACTGTGAGTCTAAGGGGGAACAACCCAAGCTTCAGGGATGAACAGCCCCTGACTGTCCTGCCTGAAGTTGAACTTCACGCGAGGGGCGCTTGGCACTTCAAAGCCCAAGGCCCATGCACCCCCCGCCGAAACCATCAATGATCAGGGCTGTAGCCCTCAATGCAAAGCAAGCCAAAAAACACAAAAGATGCCCTGAAACCTCAACCACCCCAGCCCCAAACTGTGGCGGCCCTATAAACAGTACATGTTTGTGGCATCATAAGGATTGTATCGGGATTAGGGGTAAACAGGCAAAAAAAGTTCAAACCTACCCCTGAAACCCAAACCCTACCCCCTGGACCTTGGCCCGGACGGAGCTTTCCGCGGAGGCCTGGGGCTCCTTCTGCTCCTTTTGCTGGGACCTTAGGTGCTTCCAGGCTTCAGCATTGAGGGTTTAGGGTTTAGGGTGGCTATACCTAAACACTAAACCCAAGCCGCCCAGACCCCATGAAAGCTTCAGGAATTTGGGGGCTTTGGCCGTAAGCCACTACCCGATTTTGAAGGTCTAGCACTGTTCCACCCCCTCAACAACTGCAAAACTCTTCGGTCCTTACACCTTTTCAAAAGCACTCAAGCCCCCAGGGTTTAGGGTTTAGGGTTTAGGGTTTAGGGTTTAGGGTTTAGGGTTCCTCTCACATCAACCCCAAACCAACTCTGCGGCGATGTGGCTGTCGACTCTTCTTGCCTTTCCGGGCCGCTTCCGCCCACACGGGCTCCTGTGGGGCTTTTAGAGTTTGGGGTGGGTTTATAGGGTTTAGGGTTTAGGGTTTAAGGTTTAAGGTTTAGGGGAAACAGGATGAGCCCTTCATAAACGCTGAACCTCAAGCCCCAAAGCCATATGAAGTCTAGGGCTTCGGGCTACTCGGTTTGCTCCCAACTCGGTCCAGGCAAGGTGTGATTTTTCTTTATGGTTTTGGGTGTGGAGGTTGGGTTTCTGGTTTAGGGCTTAGGCTTAGAGATTAGGGCTAAGGTTTCTGGAGAGAAATGAGCTCTTGCTTTTGGGACCCTCGGCGAATCCGGGTGTAGAGTCGTGGCTTGGGGGTTTCCGGCTTCATCCCTATACAGCGTTCCGGCCTGAAGTTGGCAGATCGCAAGCCCAGGATTTCATGGGCGGGCCGCTCGCTGGCTGTCGAGACTCCCGCAAGAGATGCAACAACACGCCCAACCGCTGAGCAGCTGCATCTGCTGCGCCCGGATGTTTCCGGAAGCTCCCGTGCTGCTTACTGTAGTTGTTGCAAGCCTCGCACTTCGCCCACTGCAGCTCGGTGCCTGCCGATTTGGCATTGGTCTCATCTCCATACAAGTGCCAGCGCCCTGGCTCGCCGCAAGACTTGCAAGGGCCTTTCTGCCATCTTTGCAGCGGCACGGCCCCAGCCACAATTCATCACGCAAATTTGAGCTGCAGCATCCACTCCCATCGTGGAATAGAGGTGTGCTTCGATGAACAAGCCGTAGAATCAACCTTCATTTCGCACCCTTAAGTATACCCCAATATACCCATATGTAGCCTGACAAGCACAAATATACATGTGCATATACAAACTCTACAGTCTATATACATATATGTATACATGATACTTTCAGGGCCTCTTGTACTCCCCCCCCCCCCCCAAAGGCCGAGAGCCAACATTGGGCGTCCATGCTCTTGGTTTCTCTTAGAACGAAATAGCCTATGGAGTTGAGCTCAATGCCGGGCTCTTGTTGGGTACCCGACATGTAGGGCCACTGAAGTATTCGTAGGTACCTCAAACAGGACTCGAATTTGGGGGAACCTATCCATAGGTGGGGGGGGGTGAGTTTCGCATGGTGTCAGTTTCAGTGGATTCCTGACTCATAGTTTAGGGTGTCCGAAAAGGGCCTGCAGCTGCGATAGCTTAGATCAACCCTCATATGGCATACCCCCGATTTCGACCCCAGACACTAGACTGCTGCATTTTTAACCCTTGGACCACTCAATCCAGACAAAGCCCTTCTCAGCCCCTGCCCCTAAACGCCTCAACAGCTACATCCCCAAACCTCTGACCAACCCCTGCGAATCTCACGGCTCCTTCTCCGGCTGGCCACTTCGGAGAAAGTCCTAGGCTAGGTTGCGCAGCAATCCCAATGATAAAGAGGGTGCTCATTCTTACTTAATGCAGCATATATGGGTACCTACAACTCAGGGAACTCGGGCACTTGGCGCCCTACTAGCGAGGGGTTGGCTGTGTACTGCGCCCCTGACTTACTAACACTCTACAACCCTAAACCCTAAACCCTAAACCCGAACCCTAAACCCTAAACCCTAAACCCTGAACCCTGAACCCCTCAACCCTGAACCTGCAACTCTGACGGTTCAAGCCGCAGCTTGGGGAGCGACCTGTGCTACTTTTGCCTAGATCGAAGCTGAGTAGAAGGTATATGATATATTGTCAGCCCAATATAAGGCTTATGCGGGGGGGGGGGAGGGGGGGGGAAGGGGGGGGTAAGCTGAAGACTATTTCCTGAATCGTGAAGCCTAAAACTGCCCGAAAAGCAACCTGAAGATTCCATGAGAGAGAGCACGCAAGACCCAGCCTAGACTTCTTTCGGTCCCAGCCAGTCGTGTATACTCTAGCCAAAGGGAGTCCACTCAAAGGCTCAAGTGCAGCAGTCGTTTAGAGAAACCGCGCAAACAATAAAAAGTATCTTTCTGGCCGAATGTAGGTGCCGGAAGCAATCCGAAACCTTGCAAACCCTGAAAAGGAAGCCAAAAAACCACTGCATGCCCTAAACCTTAAAACAAAACAACTCCAAACCCAAAAGGCCTACTTCAAGATTCACTCGCAGCTAGAAGTCAACAATATCATTGTTTGGCTACCGCTCTGATGAGGTGACAAACAGCTCGAAGTACGGCTGGCGCCACACGCCTAAAGCCAAGCTGCAAGAATTTGCGCGCCGGCAAGGGCACCGTTAAAGGATGGCTCGGAGTTGTGCTGTGTAGCCTGCTTGGAGGTGAGAGGCTTTCGAGCTTGCAAGTAGGATAACATGTAATTGTAACTGGATATGACCGTATGTGAGGGCTTTCCGTGCTAGTTCGAACTATCCCTGACCTTGAGAGCCCCTCAAACCTAAACCCTTAGCCCACCAAAAGGTCCAAGCCTCAGGTCTCTCCCAATTATCCCGACCCCCTTTGCCCTAAGGCTCAAACGGGATTGCCTTTTCCCGAAAAAATCCATGCACCCAAACGAGGAGTACTTGGGCCGTACCAAAAACAGCTTTCTAGATTAGAGTGACTTTGGGGTACATGGACCCTTAAGGCTTGTCAAAGTCTTACATTCTACACGGCGCGAACCCCACAAGGGGCCTGGCTTAGAGGCTTACGGTCGAAGTCCAGGCGTCCCGACACAGATGACCCCCAAATCCTCTAAACGCCGGTGCCCCAAGCTGATGTTGAGCCTTGAACCCTCAACGCCCTAACTGCAAGCCACAGACCCTAAACCGTTCCGGACCATGTATAAGAAATACAGGAAGCTCAAAAGCAAAACAACGTCAGAAGGGGAACAACGTGGTTTCCTAGGTAAGCTAACGATTTGCAGGGTTTAGGTGTTGCACTTAGGGGTTGAATACCCCAGCCCCAAAAAGGTTAAAAAAGGTAGAGTATGTATATATATATATAGTGTAAAAGGTTTAACTACCCAGCCCCTCAGTACAGGTAAACCGTGGTCGCTCGTGCAAGCCCCGCCTTCGCTGGGACCTCACACGGGTCCTGCCAGCGACATGCTCAACAGCAAGCAACTCCCGGTTTAGGGTTTAGGGTTTAGGGTTTAGGGTTTAGGGTTTAGGCTTTAGGCTTTAGGCTTTAGGCTTTAGGTTCAGGGCCTGGGGTTACTTGACTCAGGTGAGTCTGGACCGAGATCGTTGGGCCGGCCCGTGCTCTAATGCGGCAGCTCATCTCGTACTAAATCGGCCGCCGAGACAGTGGAAACCGAAGAAGCCCTAGCACACAACAGCCCTAATGCCCTGCACCGGCGACGTGCTTTTCAAGCCATGAGCCCTACTTGGAGGTTTATGCACCGGTACATAAACTCTGCCCCCAAAAGAGCACCAAGTATGTTGGGGGGTTTTAACTTAAAATGTGAGGAGTATCAGACGAGGCCCCAGAGGGCCCAAGTTGTAGAAGAACCTCGGGTTTAAGGTTTAAGGGCTTTGGGTTTAGGATCTTGGGATTTAGGATCTCCAGGGGGTTTAGAGGACATTCCCCGCCCTCCCCCACCCCCACTATGCCTCAAGAGGGGGCTACGCGCTTTCTGCGCGTGAAAGTTCCTAGCGGAAACTAGGGTACTAGGCCGCGTGTACTCCTTTAACTATGTATCAGTACTTTAAGGTCTAAACCCTAAACCCGAAACCCCTAAGCTATATATAGGTGACCCCACTTCTCGAGGGCCTCCGTACGCACCCGGTGCTCCGCAGCCACCTGGTACCGCTCCTGCAGATATGGCTGGGTTGTGAAGGTCCCGAAACCTCAAACCCACTTTAGGGTTTAGGGTTTAGGGCTTATGAAGACGGAATGCTGCTGAAATGGGGAAGGGGTGGGCGGGGGTGGGGACATGTGCATCTTTTCCTCGGCGATGTCTTAGTAGCTCAAAGGCTGAACATGTCACGGTATGTCACACGAACATACTTTGGGTTCTCTAAGTTATACGTACAAGGCACTGCTTCTTAAGTAGGACGGTCCATTTTGGCGTGCTGTTTTACTCTGCCCCTAGCCCCCCCCCCCCCCCCCGCCTGAGTCTTCTTTGCGCTTCGTTCCTCGTCCGACGGTGCCGACGACGTGTGAGAGTCTTGGCCGTCGGAGCTGTGAATCTCGGTACTGTCCTCAAGGCGACAACACGTCTTGAAGGGCCTTGCAGGCTGACCCAAAGCCTAGTGGATTAAAAAAGAATGCAAGGCACCTACTTCTTTCCGGATTGAGAAAGGGGGATAGAACAGAACACTTCGGGTCGTTTCAAGCTAGGGACCCCTTATGTATGACCAGAACCGGTACAGAGAAACCCGAACAACAACAGCACTAATTCAGAAGAACCGAGCCCTACATCCCATGGGTTTTCGGGTTAAGGGTTGCTTTGCTTAATGCTATTTTCGAGTTGAGGTCTAGGCTTTAAGGCTTGGTGTTTTTGTGTCTTACGGGTTGAATGTTTCTCCCAAGTAACCTATATACTGCATCCATCTTGGACATGCCTACCTTTAGAAGGGTATGCACGATTCTCGAGGTAATGGGACGAAGTCGAACTCTGGCGCACAAACTCAACCCCACCTCCTCCCCTCACCCCCCTCCCCCCCAGCCTCCACAGAGGATCCAGTCTCCTTCTCCTCGGCCTTGTCGTCCATCTTGATCTCTTGCCGCTCGGGAACCGCCTTGAGGGAACAAGGTCGGACTTGCTGAGGCTTTGGGGCTGAGGGCGTTAAGGATCGTAGGAAGTTTGGGGTTCGTTGTAAAGGTTCTGTTTAGACTATATTGCAGAGTTCTAGGTCCTCGTATGACTGAACACTCAATTCCCAATTGAGGGGTATTGGGCTTTCTGTGTATTGGGCTTTCTGGGGGCTTATGACGACGCTTTTGTCTTCTGCCGGGTTCAGCTGTCACCGTCTCCGCATGCGAAGGCCCTAAACCCTAAACCCTAAACCCTGCTGGCGAACGGTGCTGCTGGATTGGGCTGTCGTCTAACCTAAACCCTAAACCCTAAACTCGCCCTAACCCAAGCCCTGAACCTTCAACCCCTTTCAAGTCTGTGGCCTCTTCGATCTCCTCCTGGGGATCTTGCTCCTCCTCTTCCTCTGTGTCGGCCTTTTGCCGCTGTGGGGATCAGAGGGTTTAGGGTTCAGGGGTTTTTTGGGTTTTATGGCTTAAGGGTTTAGGGTGGCAAAAAAGGGGACATGCAGGACCCCTGAGCTCCAAGTTGGAAGGACTTAGTGTCTGCAGGGGGCTCTGGCACTGGCATCCAAAGATTGTTGAAGCTTAGGTGCCCCCTTAAGACCTTTTTGACAAACACCGCCGGCCCCGCAGCAACACCCAAAACCACCTTCCAAACAGCTAAATGTAGTGACTCGGTGTGTGTACATATATATATATAGTTCTTATGTCCTTAGTACAGATCATACATGTATCTATATCTGTATCTATATATGCGGCTTAGCCACCCCAACTTGGAACCCGGTTCCCATGAACCTCCAGTACCCGAAGCTAAGCCCTTACCAGCAGCAAGCCTGCTCTCGCATAGTCCAGAAGTCCATCCAGCCCTTCTCTACCCCCACCCCCTCCATGGCAGCTCTAAACCTTGCCTACCTCTCTCGCAACCCTTAAGACCCGACCCAAAGACCTCTCTAAAGCCTCGAAAGCTCTTTCGCCGGTTTCCCAAACAATTTTCTACCCCAGGGCCTCCTCAGCCCCCTGGAGTTCCGGCTTCGGCTGCTCCGCTGGCGCCTCGCTCTTCGCGCCCTTCCTGCGTGGGCTTTTGTGTTTTTGTTTTGGGGGGGGGGGGGGGAGGGGGGGGGGGGGGGGGGGGGGGGAGAGGGGGGGAGAGGGGGGGGAGAGGGGGGGGAGGGGGGGGGGGGGGGGGGGGGGGGGGGGGGGGGGGGGGGGGGGGGGGGGGGAGGGGGGGGGAGGGGGGGGGGGGGGGGGGGGGGGGGGGGGGGGGGGGGGGGGGTTTTGGGGTTTGGTTTAAGGGATTGAGGGTTTGGGGACTTTAGCGGCTTAAAGGGTTTCAGGATTTTGAGCTAAGGATTTGTCAGGGTGTTTAGGGGCTTGAGGGGCTTAAGGTCTACAAAACCAAAACCTAGGAAGGCTTAAATTCCAGAGATGAACCCTCGGGATTGAGGCTTGGGGCTTTGGGGCTCAAGGTTTAGGGCTTACGAGTTTTTGCGGTTGGGGGGAGTGGAGGGTGTTGGGATGCCCGAGAAATCGACCCTGGATACCCTCTGCTCTACGATTCTACGATTTCGGGCTGCCTCTACCTTCCCATGAACCGTCGAGTAGGGCACAGGATACAATGGGACTCGGTGCTCGGTTGCTCCGCGTCTCCAGCAGGCCTACCAGGTCTCTGTTCAAGCCTGGTTTCGCGCAACCTACACTGCAACAAAACCCCGCCCTCCCCTTCCCAACCCCTGCAGTAGTGTTGAGGGCTCCGAAAACAGGGGATTGCAAACCCTAAACTCGAAACCTTAAACCCTCCCCCTAAACCCTAAACCCTAAACCCAAACCCTAAACCCTAAACCCTGAAACCTAAAACCCTAAACCCCAAACCCTAAAACCTAAACCTTCACTGCTTGCCGCCGGAGCTTCTTGGCACTGGCTTTGGCCCGGGCGGCGGCTTTGTTCTTCTTGGCCTTCTTTTTGCCTGCTGGCTCCGGCTCTTGGGGCTGTTTAGGGTTTAGGGTTTAGCGTTAGGGTCTAGGGGTCGGGTACTCGCCTTTCAGACAGTGATAAGCAGCTTAATGTTTAAGCATCTCCGGTAGTGGCAAAAAAAGAAAGCACAACTAAGGTGGAGGGGGGTCTAGAGTTTCGGGTTGGGCTGGACTGCGGATGCTGGGTTTGGGGGTTAGTGCAGCGGACCAGACAAACGGCAGGTGCCCTTTCTCCAGGAATGCTTTAAAATATTCGCGAGTCGCACCCTGCAGCTGAGCTCTCAATAAGCAAAACCCTACACCCCAAACTCAAAGGAGGGCGCCCCTTGCAAGATTTAAGGCCTGAACGTGCACCCCCCCCCCCCCCCCGGGAAACCCTCCTTTGAGAACTCCCTAAACGCTAAACCCTAAACCCTATGAACTCTGTGAAGGAGCCTGCAGCGCGACGTGCGTGTTCCTATGCAAGGCGTTCAGGACTGTAGAGTTGAACGGAGTTTTAGCTTTTGTTGTTTGGCTTTTTGTGGGACTTCGAGTCGCTATTTAGGGTTTAGGGTTTAGGGTTTAGGTGTTATGTCGAGAGCTGCTGAGGCTTTGAAGGTACATAGTCTGAACTGTCTGAGGCTGAGTCCCGGACCGGTTACGTCCGATTCGCTATTGCCTCAAAACGACTTTCCCTCCTACTTGCAGTTTGAACTGTTATTGGGGGCATATTGGGGAGAATTTAGAGATCGCTGGCTCTATAAACCCTATAACCCCTATAAACCCTAAACCTGAACCCGAAACCAGGTAACGCGTGCCATTGCGGCCCCGCGCGTTTTCGTGCTTGTCTTGCCGCTGTCGGACGCAGGAAAACGCCGAAAACTCGAGGTTTTGCGCGTCGCGTTCGCGGGACGCATTTCGACTATGGTCAAAATCACCATTGACACCATGGGTTCGGTGCTCGTGAGCGCGAAAACACTGCGCGCAGCGATGTTTTCGGGACGCGTGCGTGGCACCCAAGAAAGTGCTTGCTTTTCGAGCGCTGTTTTCGCACGGAAACACTGCGCACAGCGTTCTTGAGCTTATGTTGTGCAAAGAGGCAAACATGTGTACAGAGAGGCCAGCATGCTGCAAATACCAGTGTTGTGGAATCTTCGCCAAAGGCACTAGTGCTTGTGACCGCGTGTCTTCTTCCACAATATGCTGTATAGAGAAGCAAACATGCTGTAAATGCCAGCGTTTTTGGGCATTGTCGCCAAGGGCACGAACACTTGTGACCGCGTGTCTTGTTCCAAAAACGTCAAACATCCCTTGGCAAGAGCGCTGTAAATACCGATGTTTTGGGCAGGATCGCAATATTGATAGACGTAATTACCCCCCCCCAACCCCCCCCCCCAACCCCCCCCTAAACCCTAAACCCTGAATCAAGAGAAATGTCCTCCTCGGTCTCGAGCTGCTTCAGCAGGTCCTCTGCCTCCAAGCGAGACAGCAGTTCCTGAGCCTGGGTCGCGGGGTTTAGGGTTTAGGGTTTATAGGGTTTCGGGTTTAGGGGAGTGGAGGTGGGGCTTTGCGGGGTTGGAGGTGGGAGGGCGTGGCGTTTAGGAATTCGGGTTTAGTCACTTAGGGCTTAGGGGTTCGCAGCTTGGGTCTTAGGGTTCGAAACTTAGGGTTTGGCTATTTAAGGTTTCGTGTCTTGGGGCTTGGGGTAAGGTAATCCATGGGGCTTAGGGTCATTGATCAAGGTGCCAAAGTGTCTTTGCCGTGCCCACTGGCGCCTGTCTGTATCCTAGAAGCCTGAACACGGCCTAGGCACCAAAGCCTCAAACCCTAAACCCTGAAGCCCTCTATTCGAGCCCATTGTAGGACCTAAGCTAAACCAAAGACCACAAACCCCCAAGCCCAGCATAGGAAGTCAGGCCCCAAACCCTGAACTCAAAACCCCTTCGTCAAACCTTGTTGACTTGACGTAGGCCCTAGGTCCATGAAACCCCGAGAGTTTAGGGTTTAGGGCTTAGGGTTTATGGTGTAGGGTTTCCCCTACTTCAACCAGTGACCTCCAAGAACCCTAAAGCCCCAGCCCTGAGACCTAAACTGCCTGGACATCAACAACTCAACTCCCTTAACCCTGAAGCCGTCTTCTGAAACTCATAAACCCCTAAACAAACCCCTACTACCCCCTAAACTCCTAAACCCCAAACCCTCAACCCCTAAACCCTAAACCCTACTAGCTAAGCCCCCTGCTCCCTTAAGTGAGCCCTGACGCCTCCCGCAGGAGCTCCGGTCCGCGCAGCGCGGGCGTGGCCAGGGGCTGGCGCGCGAGGCGCTGAAGCGCTTCCTTTCCGTAGGGCAGTTATTTCTTCTTTTTTTGTTTCCGGCAAGGGGGGGGGGGTTAGGGTTGGTAAGTTAGGGTTTTAAGTTCTACTGGGCTTAGGGTTTCGGGTTGAGGGTTTCGTGGGTTTAGGGTTTAGTGGGTTTAGGGGGTTTAGGGGGGTTAGGGGGTTTAGGGGGCTTGGGGTTTGGTGGGTTTGGGGCTGCTTTGTGCTTATGGGAGATAGGGGGTGCTTAGGGCTTCCGTTCAGGAGCTGCGGGGTTGCGGACATGGGCTTTTTGCTGACTCTCAGACTTGCAGATGCGGGCGAGGCTTCAAGGCAATCAGTCGGAAGCCATGCAGCACCTGCACACTCAAAGCATCAGGACCAGCTCGTCTACAGGGCATCATCAGGAGACCCATAAAAAACCAGTACAAACATCGCCAAAGCTCAATCACAACATGAACTGTCGTCCACTTAAACAAGCTTTACTTGAGATGAAACCCTGCATCAAGCCCGTGCCTGATCCCACGTGCATAATATACGAAACAAAATGCTGCAAAGTTGCGACAACGACTCCATCTCTAGCTGGCATAATTGGGAATCCAAGGGCACTACCAGGAGTCCCTAGCAAGGGCTGCTCCTGAACTTGCGCTCAGAGGGAGTCATCGTAAGTGGTTGTAATTACAGAGATGCACGTCGGGCTATCTCTTGCCTAGAATCGCAGGGGCTAACGCGCAAAGCTTCAGGGCCTCCGGCGCCTACCGCCCTTGGCCTGGCTTGCACGCACCATAAACTACGGATTGCGAGGCCCTAGAAAGCTCCGAATTTTCGCAAGTATCTGACCACGAGTGTGCCATCTTGCGCAACATCCAGTCAGTTTCGTCACGGCTCCGAGTCAAGACAAACTTGAGGCATCTAGAAACTGTGAGCTCGCAGAGGTGCAACATCGAAATGAGATGAAATGAGCAATGCCCGGTTCATGAGCTCAACATGACGACGTATACAAGTTACTTCACACTACTCTTCCGCAAGATTCCGCAAGTTGCCTGACCCGGAGCCATTCATACAAGGCACCGCACGCCCACCTACATCCGTCCGTGATCTTTGCTCAAGTGTTAGCATCGTTAGTCAGTCCAATTATCTGAAACACGTGCCGAAAACACAGCCGAAGAACATCGAGTCACACAGCCGTCAGGTGAAAGCAATGATCGAAACACAGCCTTGCAGTCTGCTGCAGGTTCCCTGTGTTGCCGATACATGTGGCCTGTGACCCATCCCCTTCCCCGCCAACTCCGGCCCACGCACCGGCTGATGGTAAATGCCGAAACCTGTGCCAACGAGACCGGCTGTTCGCGGATCTCGCTCGGCAAACCTGCCAAAGAACACATCATTGGCTCAGCCTCCTTCCCAGGAGACGACTACCTTTAAGGCTCAGTTGTGGAACGTTGGCTTCCATGACGGCGGCAGTCTGCTGCTCGACGCTGTCCTGCCTCGTCCAGCCCTGAGATGGGCACTTGAAGAACTCCATGGAGACCTGTGATGCACTGTCACTGAGCTCAGCAGCACCAGTCCTTTGGAAGGCTTGGGGCGGCAGCTCCGTCGGAAGCTGCCCGAGCAGCAGCTGGAGCTGGGCCCAGGAGAAGCTGCCAGCATTCAGCCTCGCAAACAGGTCCTGATGATGCTTCGCTGATGCCGCGGTGCATGCACTCGGCGTGGCAAAACGCACGTCTATCACCTGAACATCCCATGTATGAAGCTGTGCTTCTTCAACAGGACGACTTGCTGACTTCCTCGGGCTATTCCTCTCAGGCCACTTCTCCGCAGGCTCATGGCTCTGCAGATTGACTTCCATCAAGTTCACAGAGTGGGTATTGTTGGTGGTCTCGGCAACGACCTGTTGAATCGAGAAGCGACGGAGACCCGCCATCAGTCCACCACAGAAAGGGATGGATGCCACACTCAAGGCCGAAGTGCTAGGGAGTATTTTGAGGCAGGTCTGCACCATCACGCCGTGACTTACGAGAATCATTTTTTTGCCTGAACGTCGGCCACGACTGAGGTACGTCAGAAACCTCTTGGCATAACGCTGATGGGCATCTGTCAACTTTTCGCCCCAGGTGGGTGGGCGGCCCATGACCTTCTCCCAATGCACTCGCTCAACCGGGAGCTTCGAAAAGCCGTGGAGAAGCTCAGGGCTCCAGTGCTGCAGTGCAGCATGAAGCTCTTGCCGGGATCGCCAGGCTCGGCCGGTCTGGATTGGACCCAATTCCCCGAAGACCGGTGGGCCGAAGACTTCCCCAAGCTCGTAGTCCAGGAGTACCATGACATCCAACGCATCGGCCAGGGCAATGGCAGTTTGCACGCAGCGTAAGTATGGCGACGAGACGATGATGTCGAATTCAGCAAAGCCGCGCAGCTTATGGGCCGCCTGCTGTGCCTCCAAGACCGCATGGTCGCTGATTGGACAGTCGAAAGGGTACCGCTTGAAATCCTCCGTGCCATGCCAGGTGGAGCCGAAGACCGAGTCCTGACGCTCACCATGTCGGAGGACTGCCACAGCGGGATGGTGGCCAAGGTCAGGGTTTGCAGAATGCCCCCGCCCTCCCTGCTCGCTGGCCGTCTGCTGTGGTTCGTTGAGTTTGCTCGGGAAGAGAATCTCGGGCATCTCCTCTCTAGCTCTGCTGAAATCACTCGGCGACCAAGCCGACTTTGCTGGCGGCCACTCCGCCGTACCATCAGAAGCAGAAGAAGCGACCTCAAGACAGGATCTGACTTCTTCTATCTGTGGAAGAACCTCCGAGGACTTTGTGTAGAAGCTGTATGGAACCTTTACCTCATCCCCGCTGTGCACCGTGAAAGTCTTGCAGCCGGCAATGGCAATCTCCTCGTCCCTGGGAGCTCTTTGAGGCGCCACAGGATAACCGAGGGATTGGCTTTTGAGGGACATGGGCACCTCAAACGCTAGTTGGCCGGAGAGAAAATGGATTCGTGCGAGGTTTCCGAAAGGCCTAGTGATGACTCGGCGCTGACTCGGTCGCCCTTAAAATCTTACGGGCTCTAACGCATCGACACATTCCATTTGGGGCCCCCACATACTTCGGAAACTCCCGCAAAGCCATGCACATGTGTAGCCTGAGCCTAAACGAGGGTTGCGCATCAGCGTCTATCATGACCTAGAAAGGGAAGTATATGGTCCAATAGTTCTGGAGCATGTGACGGCGGAAATGCAGATTTGTGCTAGAATGCTGTTGTTTTTCTTGACTTTGAAGTCACCTTCTAATTTTATTTATGCTGAAAGCTCCTGTATCATTAATCGTGTTAAATTGGTTTCGGGGTTGAGTGTCGAGATTAGGAAGCAACTCGCAAGGTACCCGGAGGGCTTCTGAGATTCGGTGACGGTTTGAAGAGTGCTGGAGGGTTCTACGTGCCAGCATTGAAAAGAGTGACTTTAGTGCTTAGACAGCTTAAGGCTTGGCGGGGTGTAGTTATTTTGGGGTGCTTCGATGTAGCCCTGTGACCATGATAGGATAACGGCACCCCTCTTCTCCGCCCTTGTGTTCACAATGGAACCCAGACCTCAGATTAAACCCCGGGCCCAAGCCCCAAACCCCTAAATAAACACCGAAACCATACAAACACAAACCTCGACCTATAGCATCATAACCCTATTCCCTATAAACCCCCAAACACCAAACAACGAGCAGAACAACACCTTAAACCGTAAAGCGTTTAAACTTAAAACTCATAAAACCAAGCCCAAACCCTAAGCCCTAAGCCCTAACCCTGAACCCTGCAAAGCTTCAAAAGAGGCCTGGCCTGCACCTCCGGGTCGGCCTTCTGCGTGCTGGCCGGCTTCGCGGGAGTCTCCTAGAAGTGGCCACAAGGGGAGTTTAGGGGGTTTAGGGTCTAGGGTTTAGGGCTTGGGGCTTAGGGTTTAGGGTTTAAGGGGTTAAGGGGTTAAGGGGTTTAGGGGTTTAGGGGTTTAGGGGTTTAGGGGTTTAGGGGTTTAGGGGTTTAGGGGTTTAGGGGTTTAGGGGTTTAGGGGTTTAGGGGTTTAGGGGTTTAGGGGTTTAGGGTCCACAAGGGGAGCTTTAGGGCTTATGGCGTTGGGGCTTTTCTGGTGTTAAGGTCTTAGGGTTTTGGGGGCTCTTGGGTTTTGTGGTTTTTGCGCTTTAGGGGGTTTAGGCTTTTTGGGTTTAGGGTTTCAGGGCTTTAGGGCTTCAGGGTTTTTAGGGGTGCCTCGTGGGTTTGGGGGTTTTAGGACCTTCGGGGTTGTAGAGCTTTGAGGCTCGGGCTTTCCCCACTTTCTTGGGGCTTGTAGGCTTTGTTTTGTCAGGGATTTGAGGAGTAAACGCCGTTCAGGTGCTGAGGGGGGAGGAGGGGGGGTCCCCAGGGTTGAGACCGTTCCTTACTAACATGCCTGAGACCGTTCCTTACTAACATGCCTACCGCCCCTTCTCAAAACAAAAACATCACTCAACTTAGACAAATCGGCAGCGCACTCCTTGCTGGCAGCACGTGAGCTGCTCTCAGCAGCCTTGGCCTCGGCCTTGTAATTGAGGCCAAGCGCAGATTAGGCACTTCAGGTGGGCCAGGTGCAATTTACCAGGATTTCGGGAATCAAAAGGGACTGGCTACCCCAACCCCTGAGACAAGGGCCCCCACAGGTGTCAAAAATCATATATACATATAAAAAATAAATATTCATATAATGATATACCCAAATACTATTAAAACATATAGGCATGGAATCATATAATCAGATGTGATATGATCATATCATCATAAGGCCAGATAGCCATAAATTCATGTAATAAGATAATCAGCTACTCATATAAGCACATAATCATATACTTGTATACTAATATCACGCATACAGTAGCATAGCAATATACCAACAATTTGGAACGGATCTGATGTATTAAGGGCTGACCGAGCGAAACCCAAGCTCCCGCCTTCTTCGCCTTTCCATTCTTGCCCTTCTTGGAGGCGCTGGGTGCCTTCCAGACCCCCTATACCTACTATTTGCTGAAGAACCCCAAAAGAACAAAGTACTCATCCCTACATTACCGTTAGTAAGGAGGAATATTTCTATGTTTTCGGGGTTCTTAAGCAATTAGTAGCTAACCCTTTTTCCAGCATTCCACCGGCCTAGAATGGGTGAATAAGAGCTTAGGGTCTGGGAGCTTGGGGGTCCCTGAAGCACTAGAGCCCTATGCGAAGCTCTCTACTACGTGGGACGATCTGGGGGTTTACGAGAATAAGGGACCCCGGATATAGACCTCCAAATAGTGGGATCCTCTTGTTATAATCAGGACCCCAATAAGGTACCCCTAATATCGTAAACCTCCGTCTGTGATAAGAAGGAAGCAGTAATTGGCTCATATGCAAAAAGCCCTTCTTCTGAAAACGGATGGTGGCTCTCATACATCCTGTTCAAGAGCAAGAGCTAACAAAAACCCTAGACTAGACCCGGAAGCCAAATATGCTCTTGATCAGGCTGCCCCTCTCTGCTTCAAGTCTGGCATTCTCCGATCCTTGCTACGACACTAAGTCAACAAGTGTGCAACATGCAAGAAACCAAACAACAAGAATAGTCGCAGCAACGGGAGAAGTTTCCGTTGTGGGGCCATTGGGTTGTAAACAAACTCCTCCGGCTTTGGGGGGATTGAGCTTATACCAAGACAGGGATAAGTTGGGGATTTCAAGTTGCAGGCTGGTGAGTTAGATACAGTTTTGCAGGGTGGGGTGGTGGAGAGGGGGGGGGGGCCAGCCCGTACATGGAGGGTTGTCGTTCGGGATTGAGGATTTCGGGGGGGGGGGGGGGGGGGGGGGGGGGGGGGGGTTTCCGGCTTGTTTGGGTGTAGGGTTTGAGGTTAGAATGATCTCAAAAACCACTATGCCTGCTCGCTCTTGGCGGGGGCTTCCTTCTCCAAAGCTGGAGCCTGGTCCAACAAACCCTAAGCCTAAAACCATCAAACCAATATGCCCTAAAAAGAATGCTTCTTTGCGGCTTCTAAGGCAACTGGCCGCAACAAAAGGGAATAAGGCCGCACTGGGGCACCTTGTTCCCCGAGTAATTGGGACATAATCCCTGAACTTGAGGGATCCGACTGTGATTTAGGGTTTAGGGTTTAGGGTTAGGAATATTCTGAATCAAGTGACCGCCCTGCTGCAGCCGGCCCACGCAAGCACTGTGACTCCTAGCCCTTCAGAACTCCGGTGACCACGAGAGCCTACTCACCGTGACCGGCCGCTTGGCGATTGGCAAGATCTACATCGTGTTGTTGAGGAATCGCTTCCCCCTGTTAGTAAATACACCCCTAAGTATCCTGCTGAAGCTCTCTCACTCTCTCTCTCCCTCTCTCTCTGTTTACACCCAAATTAATAAGTAATTTCTTACTGAAGCCTAGCCGCTAAACCTTTAGCCTTTAGACCCAAAACGTGACCTTTGGATAAAAACATCCCCCTAATAGTCAAAACACATTTCGAGTTTCTATTGCGGGGGGGGGTTTAACCTAGGGAGAAGGGAGTAGTGTCTCGGCGCATACTCAGAAGCATGTAGTTCAACAGGCCTCCTGCCGAGATCCGGATTCAAGAAAGCCAGAGTTAACACTCCAAACGTCCGGACCCTGAGCCCTCAACCCAAACCCCAAGCGTCCATGTACCTGCGCAGTAGATACGTGGGCCTAAAACAAGGGGGGCTGCTATAGCATTTTCGGGACCAAGTATGTACTACACAGGTACATAGCCCCCCCAAACCACCCTAAACCCTAAACCCTGAATCCCCCGAAACCCCCCTTCAACCCGAAGTTTTGTTATACCACAAATCGGGACGCAATTGCTGGCCAAGGGACAGGCTCCGGAGCTGGCGGTGCTGGCTCCTCTGGCTTTGCCTGCTGACGGGTTTAGGGTTTCGGGTTTAGGGTGTTTAGGGTGCTTAGGGGGTTTAGGGGGTTTCGGGTGTTTGGGGGGTTTAGGGGGGTTTCGGGCAGGGGGTTTAGGGTTTAAGGTTGGAGCTTGGGGTTGCCCGGTTTACGAGGCTTGGGTTCCTAAATCGGGTACCTACAACCCCCCATCATTCCTGAAAGCCCGCGAAGAACCACTAAGTCTCCTAACGTGGCTCAATGCCAGGTTTGCACTAAGTTGAGGGTTTGGGGTTTAGCTTAGGGAGGGTGGGCAGGGCTGGTGAGCTTCAGGGGCTGAGGCAGGTCATGGTTCAACACATCAGGAACCCTAAGCACTAAACCCTGTCCGAATGACTGCTTGCATAAACCTTAACCCTTCAACCCTCTGGAGCCCGACCCCCAAACCTTGAAAACCCGAAAAGAAAACAGCGTTCAACCTCAAACCCCAGATACCCTACACACACCGAACCCCAAGACCCCAAATACCCTGAAGCCCCAAGGACCTTAACCCTAAATACCCTGAACCCGAGCCCCCAAACCCTAAATAAGCCCGAAGCCCTACACACCAAACCCTAAACCCTAAACCCTAAACCCTAAACCCTCAACCCTAAACCCTAAACCCTTTCTATCACATGTATATGTAAATGTTGGTGACTTCTCTGTCAATCTGACCCCCAATGTTGGCGACTTTTCGGTCAATGTGACCCCAATGTTCGTGACTTTTCGGCCGATCTGACCCCAATGTTGGCGACTTTTCGGTAAATCTGACCCCAATGTTCGCGACTTTTTGGTCAATCTGACCCCAACGTTGGCGACTTTTCGGTCAATCTGACCCCAATGTTGGCGACTTTTCGGTCAATCTGACCCCAATGTTCGCGACTTTTTGGTCAATCTGACCCCAACGTTGGCGACTTTTCGGTCAATCTGACTGGCGACTTTTCGGTCAATCTGACCCCAATGTTCGTGACTTTTCGGTCAATCTGGACCAATGTTGGCGACCCTCCCCCCCCCCCCCCCCCCCCCCCCCCCCCCCCCTCCCCCCCCCTTGAGGGTTTAGGGCTTCAGGGGGTTCAGCGCTCCAGGGTTTAGGGCTTCAGGAGCGCTCCAGGGTTTAGGGCTTCAGGGTTTAGGGCTTCAGCGTTTAGAGCTTCAGGGGTTGAGGGCTTCAGGGTTTAGGGCTCCAGGGTTTAGGGCTTCAGGGTTTAGGGCTTCAGGGTTTAGGAGTGGGAAGGTAAAACTCTCTGGGGTAGGATGAAAACCTTTGATTTTCTTAATGCTATGGGATTCTTTGGGCGGGTGGTTTTTTTTTCTAAGTCTGGAACCCCCTGCTAGAACAGTGACCCTCTAGACCCTAAACCCTAAACCCTAAACCCCCAAATACCCCAAATACCCCAAATGCCCCAAATACCCCCAAAACCCCGAACCTGCGTGGCAGCCTCTGGCTCCATCTTGGCCGCAGCAGCCGGCTCCTCCTTCTTGGCCTTGTCCTTCTTGTTCTTGGACTTCTTCTCCTGAGGTCTCACAGTTTAGGGTTTCGGGTTCAGGGTTTAGGGGTTTAGGGGTTTAGGGGTTTAGGGGTTTAGGGGTTTAGGGGATTAGGGGTTTAGGGGTTTAGGGGTTTAGGGGTTTCGGGTTTAGGGTTTAGGGTTTAAGGTTTGGGGTTTGGGGTTTAGGGTTTGGGGACTTCTTCTCCTAAGGTCTCAGGTTTTTGCTTTTGGGGGTTGGGGTTCAGGGTTTAGGGGGGATTGTCCATTGAGGGTTCAGGGTTTAGGGGTTTGGAACTCTTTCTTGTTCTTGGGCTTCTTCTCCTAAGGTCCCGGGGTTTCACTTATAGGGGTCCATGGAGGGTTCAGGGCTTAGAGTGGGGCACTTAATATAGGGGCTGTAAGAATTGGGGTGTTGGAGGGCTTCATTTTGCTTGATTTTCGAGGGACGCTATTCCGATCCCTATATTAGTAGCTAATTCCGACCCCTATATTCTCTTGAGGGTTAAGGATCCATTGAGGGTTTCGGGGACTCATCTTTGAGGGTGTGGGGGGTTGGGCTTTCACGCTTGAGGGAATCCCGGGGGGGGGGGGGGTCAACCCTAAGCCCTAAGCCCTAAGCCCTAAACCCTAAACCCAAAACCCCAAACCCCAAACCCCAAACCCTAAACCCTACCCGGCCCTAACCCTAAACCCTAATCCCAAGAGTCCTTCTTTGGTGCGGGCTCGGTCTGCTCCATCTCGGGACCGGTGTTGGAACCTTCCTGCCAAAGCTTCCGAGGTCATGAGCCCTGTAAGCCTGCCGTAAAGGTTTTTAGGGTTAGGGCTTAGGTTTTAGGGTTCAGGGTTCAGGGTTTAGGGTTTAGGGTCTAGGGCTTTATGCACTCCCCAAAGTCTCTATATGTAGGAAGTCCTGTACGGCCCAAGGACGCACTGTTTTTGCACACAAACCCTGCTACCATTCGCTTCTCCCATCGCTTGTGTTTACTTCTGGTCCTAGACCTCAAGCCGTAAGCCCTAAGCCCTGAACCCTAAATCCAGTCTCAAAAACCAGCCCCTGCTCCAACGAACCCTCGTCCTGTGAAGACGGAGTTGTGGCTTGCTCTGCCTGCTGGCGATGACGCTCGATCCTGGGTTCGGGGGGCTGGGGTTTGGGGTGTGAAGGTTCAGACAGGCCGAACATGTTGGTTTATAGAAAATCGAACTGCGAACAGGTGGTGATGCAATCCCGGTTTTTCCTACTTGTGGACAATGCCTTTGGCGTCAGAGATAAGACTTCATCTCCTACTGCCTCGTGGCAGAGCCTCTCAGCTTGGTGCTTGTTTAGCACCGTACCAGTGTAATGCTCCTGGGCCAACAGGTCCATCTCTGGGAGGCTCGCCAGGATACTCCGGTCCGTGAGCCATGACGCTCTAGCTAAACGACCATCCAACAACAGCGCAGGAGACACCGTAGTGTTCCGCTGATCATCTGAAAGACACCTCCTTCGGGTAGGGTTTAGGGTTCAGGGTTTAGGGTTTAGTGTTGCAGTCTCGTTTCGAACAGTCGAAGCTGAGGTTGGCTCTTGGGGGTTTTGTATGATTTTAAAGAGATGAGTTTATGTGAATTTAGAGCGGCAGAGTGGCCCGGCAACTTATGTTAAAGGCGCGTTGCACGATTATTCTTACGACTCGGAAGAGTCAAAGACTTGACTGAATAGCAGATTTCACCGGGCACCCCCAAACGGTCACACGGTCTTGAATAGCCCAGCAAACTTGGCTTAATTCAGAAGGCAAAGTCGACATTCTGCCAAACCATGAGCAGCCTTAACCCGCCTAAACCCTAAACCAGCCGCCGAACGGGCCGAGAGGCACTTTGCAGCGCAGCCTCTCGCGGAGCCGTGAGGCGCCAGAGCTGCCGAAGGTGCTTGGCACGCTGGAGCCCTGCAAGACAGGTGGGGTGTAAACCGGGGAGTTTGGGGTTTAGGGTTTAGGGTTTAGGGTTGAGGGTTTAGGGTTTGAAGCACTATATCAGGGCTTTTAGGCTATTATGTAGGGTTCCTAGCTTCTTCCTAAGGCTGGTCGGTTGTAGCTCTTTTCTACTACGAAGGCTTTTGCAAGCCCTCAAGAAGATCCGGACCCTTCCTCGAAAGGAGACCGACTACGCGTACCGAGTCCCTGCAAGGGAAGGCTTCAGGGAATCCAAGATCCGTTAATGAAGGAAGATAGATCTTCAGCGACCCTTCATACTTGGACCCCTATTCTACTTGATGGTACATTTTAAAGGGATATATACTGGGCTCCTCATTGTGAACAAGGTGCATTCCTTAACTAAGGGTTCTTGGGTGACCCAGTCATAGCAGTGATAGCTATAGCCCCCGCACTCAAGTACGTATATCCCCCCCAAAAAATCAGCGAACCTCCATGCAACTACATAGGGGTGCCCTGTTGTTTCTGCTGGCATGTCGTTTGAAGGAAGCCAACACCCCAAAAACGTACGCAACAGCGAAGCACCTTGCAACTACAGCGAAGCACCTCGTAAAAAAAATCGGAACGCTAACGAAGCCCGGATTACAAGGGTCGCTGAGCCCTCTGCCGACAGTTGCCCCAGCTTCCCCAAAAACACAACCGGCACAAGTCGGGTCACCCCCTTTTGCTTTCCCTAGCCATGAACCTCCAATCACCCTGAACCCTATGCCCTAAACCCTAAACCCTCAACCCTAAACCCTGACCGGCCCTAACCCCAAACCCTAAACCCTGACCGAAATCTCAAACAAGCCCTCAAACCTGAAGCCGCCAATCCGAACTTGAGGGTTGAGGGTTGAGGGTTGAGGGTTGAGGGTTGAGGGTTGAGGGCTCAGGGTTCAGGTCTGAGGTGTTGGATTGAAGGAGAAACCCTGTTGAGTGTTTCAAGCTGAAGGTTGCGTGTCTCGGGCTCCGGGGAGTTTAGGGTAGGTTTAGGGCCTAAGGTTTAGGGTTTAGGGTTTCACAGAAGCCCAAGCACAGCCTGTAGCAGCGTGGGGTTGTCTGCCCTTGGCTCAACAGCCGCGGGCGGCCTTTGTAGGCTTGGCGCAGGGTGGTGCTTGTTGTGAAGCATTGACTACACCTCAAGTACCTTATAAGCCTTATGTGCCTTCAATCAGGGATATGCACCTTGACTATTGGTCTTTTTCCCGCTTCAAGCACAGTACTTCCGCATACTGGGGTTGCCCGACAGCTTCTCATGTCCCATACAACCCCCCTGTGGAGCCTGCAGCAATCCTGAAGTTACAACAGAAGACGATCCCCCCTCCATCCCTGTGGACAGTCCAGGTTCTACACCCCATTTACCCCGAATTAAACCCAAACAACCCACGATAGGTTCACTTCAGGTAAGGTCCGTTGTTTGAGTACCTAGTATCAACCCTAACCCTAACGCCCTCATAAATCCTCATACACACTAAACAGGGTAGGCCCGACACGTCTACCTCCATCTAAGATTCTAGCAGGGTGAAGCTTCAGGTCGGTACATTACGTGCCCTCATACACCATACGTACACCTGCCCCAGGGTTTAGGGTTTAGGGTTTAGGGTTTAGGGTTTAGGGTTTAGGGTTTAGGGTTTAGGGTTTAGGGTTTAGGGTTTAGGGTTTCAATATTTAAGACAGGCGAGCCGCGCTGGCTTGGCCTCGGGAGTTGTGGCTGCCCCAGCACCTGAGGGCTTCAGGGCCCCAAGGCCCTTTGAGAGGGCGGCTCCAGGGTGATCCTCCCTTCTTGCTTCAGGGGTGACTCCTTGTTTAGGGGCATGGAAGGATTGCCCCTTCTGCATTGCGCACGACCCTCTCCTGCTCCGCAGTGACTCTGACTCTCTCACCTCTCTCTCTCTCTCTCTCTCTTCATTGGCTCCTTCGCTGGGATAGGCCCAGTCTGTCTGTCTGTGTGTGCGTGCGTGCGTGCGTGCGTGCGTGCGTGCGTGCGTGCGTGCGTGCGTGCGTGCGTGCGTGCGTGCGTGCGTGCGTGCGTGCGTGCGTGCGTGCGTGCGTGCGTGCGTGCGTGCGTGCGTGCGTGCGTGCGTGCGTGCGTGCGTGCGTGCGTGCGTGCGTGCGTGCGTGCGTGCGTGCGTGCGTGGGGGCGTGGTGGGTGGGTGGGTGGGTGGGTGGGTGGGGGGGGGGGGGTTTTGGGTCCTTATTATGAGGGAAATTCAATTACTTGGGGAACCAGGGGCCCCTCATTTCTTCAACCCCCAGAATGACTGACACAGACATGTCGGCAGTCACCTCTTGGAGCAGCATCGGCCTTCGGCGCCTCCTTCGTGGGAGGATCTTGCTTGGGATGTCGGGGGGGTTTCCGAAAATCGGGGTATATATATATATATATATGCATATATATTTTTTTTGTTTATATATTTTTTGGTGGGGTGGGGGGTGGGGGGGGGGGAGGCGTTATATATAAATATATATATTGGTTCAGCGTCGAGCGTCCTGGGCCCCCCCCCCCCCCCCCATGGTACCCCCCCCCCCCCCCCCCCCCCAAGTCTACTCTACGGTCCCTAAACCCTAAACCCTAAACCCTAAACCCTAAACCCTAAACCCCCTAAACCCTAAACCCTAAACCCTAAACCCTAAAACCTAAACCCTAACCCTAAACCCTAAACCTTAAGTCTTAAACCTTAAACCCTAAACCCTAAAACCCTGAACCCTAAACCCTAACCCTAAAACCAACCCCCAACCACACCACAGGGGGGGGGGATCATCTTAGTACCCCATCCGCGGGGAAAACCCTAAACCCTAAACCCTAAACCCTAAACCCTAAAACCCTAAACCGTAAACCCTAAACCCTAAACCCTAAAACCCTAAAACCCTAAAACCCTAAACCCTAAACCCTAAACCCTAAACCCTAAAACCCTAAAACCAACCCCCAACCACACCACAGGGGGGGGGGGGGGTACCATTGGGGGGGGGGGGGGGGGGGGGGGGGGGGGGGGGGGGGGGGGGGGGGGGGGGGGGGGGGGGGGGCCCGCCGGGGCTGAATCATATATATATATATATATATCTATATATATATGCGTATCTACAAAAATATATATATATATATATATATATATATATATATGAATATGTACATATCTATATTTATATTCATATTGATATTTATCTACTTTTGTTTAAATATTTATAAGGGCTATATTAGTTTGGGGGGTGTACTCGGGGTACCCCTATTTTGGAAAATACCCATGTGGGGTTGGGCGCTTTTTCAAGGCATGGGAGGCGCCCTTCGATTTGCAACTGAGGGCTTTCGTGTTGTTCAGGAGCCAAGGCGGCCAAGGTTTGGGGTAGGATGATGAGAGTATACTGTCCCAGCAATCAGGGACTGAAAAGGACGCAGCCCTAGACGCAACCACACAGGATCACCCTAAACCCTAAACCCCCCTAAACATAAACCTTAAACCCTAAACCCTAAACCCAGCCAGAGATATGCCCAAATGGAAGTCACAGGTTCCAGTACTTGGAGTTTCATGGGTCTCCAGAGGGTGCTGCAACAACCGCATGTATTCTAACCAGCAGGTCCCCACGTCAAACCCCCAAGTATAGCTGATCCCGCAAAGCGCGTGGGTTCAGGCCCCAATGTCCATGTTATTTCCGGATCCCTCCTAGCTGACCCCACCGGGGAGTCCTATAACTTTCTTCATGTGTTTACGGCCCCTCAAATCAACCAAAACGGGTCCAAGTACCTCAGCGTCAACCCTCCACACCCTCCTCCTTGGGAGCTGTCGGCGAAGTGGTCGTCGGCAGCGCCTGAGGTGGTGGGATGCCGCTGGCCTGGTGAGCATTCTTTCTTCACCCTAAACCCGACATCCCATAAACCCTCAAACAGATGAACCCTGCGCCCCAACCCCCTGGGCAGTTGAAGCCGATTTCGTTCCTCTTTTTGCGGTCCACAGGTGTTCTATCATTGCAATCGGGAGGAGTTTATATGAATTTAAACATGACAGCGAGGCCGCGAGGCCAGGCAATTTACTATGCAGGCGTAACACGAGATTCACAGGATCCCACCGGGCCCCAAACAGTCACACGGTCCTGCATAGTCCGGCAAACTTGACCTAATTCAGGGGGGGTTTAGAGGGTGCAACAATAAACCCCTATCAACCCTGAATCCTGCAAACACTGAATCCCACAAGCCCTGTTTACTGACCCTAAATCCGATTCCTAAACCCAAGCTATGGCTTACGCCAGGTTTTGGGGCTGGCATACGTATAGCATGCACTTACAATTCTGTATATAAATAGATAGATAGATAGATAGATAGATATATTTTAAAAATGATTCTTGCACTTTCTTATATTTATGAATAGATTCGACCACCAACTCGCAATGAGCAGCAGCCACCCTCTTTCATCGAGATCACCTCTCAGCGAGTTCGGAAGCTACAAGCAGGATATGCCGCTTTTGCGGGCTCTCACTTCTTCCGTCTCCGAAGATTGTCGGCAATCTTTGATGCGATCTCGAGGTCCGACAGGCCCTGGCAGTCCAGGAACACAACGCTGGGCTTGAAGATGCTATCGATGTATCCCTGAGCCAGGTACTCCTTGTCGAGTTCATGTGTGGGACCGGCAGGTGGATTGGGGGGGTAGGTCTTCTCCACTTTCAGCGGGAGCACTGAGACGCTGTCGTGATAGTCCAGCGCGAACTTCAGCTCAGCATGAGAAGAGTAGGCAGATCTTGTAACCTCACCATAGTGCTTGGTGCAGATGGCCAGCATGGTACCTTTTTCTCTGCGCAGTCGTCCGAGGTATTTGCTCGTCATATCTCCGAAGCTCTCGCCAGCACTGGCATCCACCATCTGGATGTCGTAGTGGCGGTCGCGCAGAATTTGAAAAACCCGACGGAACTGCCTCGAAACGAACGAGGCCATAGCACACCGGTGAATGATGCATGCAGTCACTCAACCCTAAACCGTAAGCCTTAAACCCTACACGCTAAACGTTCAACCCTAAACCAACGAAAACTTGAAACGTCCGAGGGTCTGTTCGACTGGGCCTCCATCAAACCTAGCCGAAAACATGGCCACCCGGCTGCCTTCACCGGATGGAATGCATGCCGCATCTTCCACTTTGGGACTTGCGCTGTGTTTCTTGTCATCCTTCCTGGTCTCTGGCACCGCCACTGGCTCTGCTGCTGGCTTGCTCTTCTCACCCTGCTGGGCCAGCAGCTTCAGGGTTTCGTCCGCGGCTTCCTTCAACTTTCCTTTGCCGTGCTTCACCAAGCCTTGCAATGTCGGGACCGCATCTTCCTTGATGATGGCAGCCTTGGCCTCCTTGTTGTTGGCCAGATTTCGGAGAGCTCTGGCAGCATGCCACTTGGCCTCATCACTGCCGTTGACCAACAGGGACACCAAGGTTGCCGTCCCACCTTCCTTGGTAAGGGTGATCCGGTTCTCATCAGACACTGCGGCCCAAATGGCCAACTGCTCGGCGGCTGTGGCTTTGGCCTCCTTGGCTTGGGTGCCCTCCTGTCCTCCCTTCAGCACCTTCATCTGAGCCTTGAACTCCTCGAGGTCAAAGTCGCGTCTCAAACTCGAAGCCCTGGCGCCGGAAGGCTCTCGGGGCAGGAGGCCCAGAGCCTCTCGAGCCATGGGCGCTGCGCCGGGTAACTCTGTCGCGGCTAGGGCCTCCAAGGCCTGGACACCCCCGGCCTCTGCGACGGCGGTCTGGTTCGCCGCGTGTTCCCTTGCAAGATGGTACCTATGCTCCCCTTAGAACCCTAGTAAAAGAGATTCGTGTTTTTAATATACGCTTGGGTTTGCATAGATAAAAGCGAAAGTAAGCCCAAGGTGAGGTACAAAGCAGCTGCCGGCTTCTTCGCGTCAAGGCCGCCCTCTTTCACCAGAGCCACCAGCGGTGGAATGGCTCCTGCCTGGGCAATGGAGGCTTTGTTCGCAGGGTTGTCAGCTGCCAAGGCCGCCAAAGCCCATGCCGACTGATACTTCGCCCCGCCCCCATCTTTCAGCAGAGCCACCAGTGGTGGAATGGCACCGGCCTCTGCAATGGCAGCTTTCGTCTCATCTCCTCTCTCTGCTATAACCATCACGGTGTGTGCTGCTTTCGCCTTCTCGGCATCAGAGGCGTCTCCACACAGCGTGCGGGCAGCCTCTTGGATCTTCTGCTTGCGACTTGGCGTCATCAGCTCGGTGCCTTGAGCCAGCTTCGGCTTCCCATGCAACCTTCGATGCAACTCAAAATCCTGAGGGTCCATGTGCAGGATTCTTGTCTTCTTGGGCCCCAATGTCTTTATGTTGGAAGTACTTTAAGGCCCAAGTATCTCCTACTTATAGAGGTACATGGATCCGTACGAACACAAACCTGACAATCTCTACCCGCCAAGCCGCTCGAAGGCGTAAACCAAGCCGGCGATACCAGGGAGGGGAGCAGCAGTGAGAGCCACTACAAAGCTGAGGGTTGAGAGTTTATAGGGTCTATAGGGCTAGACATCCACCCTCCCCTCCTGATCGACAGCAGTTCAGGGTTTACGATTCGTGGTTTATAGGGCTTAAGACACCCAATTATCTGAAACCTCAGCCATGCCTCTCAATTTCCCCATCTTGAAAGTTATAGGCCCTGTAGTGCCCAGCCTTCGTCTCCGAAGGCGACGGGGACTTCACGCGCCTGGGCTGGAAAAGGAGCCCGGGAACCCCAAAGCTGCAAGGGTTAAGGGTTTAGGGCTCAGGGTGTAGACCTTAAACCCTAAACCCTAAACCCTGTAAAACCCTATAAACCCTATAAACCCTATAAACCCTATAAACCCTCTAAACCCTCTAAACCCTCTAAACCCTCTAAACCCTCTAAACCCTATAAACCCTACAAACCCTAAACCCTAAACTTCCCTAAACCCTAAACTTCCCTAAACCCTAAACCCTAAACCCTAAACTACCCTAAACCCTACTGGTCCTTATTACAAGGGAATCCTGCTATTTGGGGGCCTATTTTTAAGCGTCCTTTTCAAACCCCATATTAAGTTATAGAGGCCTGGAAAACTAGAACAGGGGGTTGGGGGATTGGGGGGGGGGGTTCTTGGCATATACCTTGTACAGGGACCAGAAGAGTAGACTACTCGTGACTATTCCGACCCTAAACCCTAAATCCTAAACCCTAAACCCTAAAGCCCTAAACCCTAAATCCTAAACCCTAAACCCTAACCCTAAACCCCTAAGTTCTCCAGTTGCCTGTTCTTCTTACTTCAGGACTCCAACATCTGACTCGAAGCCAACAAGCTCTACACTCGGAACCCCTGAATGCGAAAGATTACGAAACCCTTAACACGCCTAAGGGTTTAAGGTTCAGGGTTTTTGGGCTTTTTAGGGCTTGGGGGTTTGGGTTTAGGGTAAACCCTCATCCCTACACTGCAACCCTAAACCCCAAACCCCAAACCCCAAACCCCAAGCCTAAACCCTAAACCCTAAACCCTACACTAAGCCGCTCAAGAAGCTGGGGCCCGCGCTGGCGCGCCTCGCCATCCGGCTTCCGGCGCTTGGAGGGGCCCTTGCCTCGCAGGGAAAGGGGATTCGGGGTTTAGGGTTTAGGGTTTGGGGTTTAGGGTTTAGGGTTTAGGGTTTGGGGTTGAGGGTGTAGTCTGAGGGGGTTTTGCCTAAGAATTTTTGAGCTTTGGGAAGTTGGGGGTTAGGGGCCTACTGTAAGTGGTGGTTTTGTGGGGGGCCTGGGGGGATGAGGCTTGAGGGCTTTAGAGCTTTATGGTTTTGGGGTTGCAGGGTTTTAGGGTGTTTGGGTTTAGGGGTTTTAGTTTTTTTGGGAAGGTTTGGGGGGCTTTGTCAGGCTTTTTGGGGGTATTGGGTTGGAGGCTTGGGGTTGGGGTTCACGGTTTTGGGTTGAGGGTTGAGGGTTTGGTGTTTTAGGGTTGAGGGTATTTGGGATTTGGGGAATTTTGGCTATTTTGGGATTGGGGTCACCCTGCCGACTCGAAACAGTGCCTTCCGAAGCCCAGACGCTAAATTGCCTCCGGCGAACAACGCAATTCGGTTTAGGGTTCAGGGCTTAGGGTTTGGGGTATACCTAAACAGGGTAAAGTTGGGCTCGTAAGTACTTCGGGTCTCATGCATGCACGTTTTGGCTCCATGTACAATTACCCTTATGGGTAGCGAGCAGCGGGTCCGCTCAGCACTGTACAAACTTGCCGCTCGCTGCCAGCAGGCAGCGCAGGACCGAAAAGTTGCAAGCCAGAAGACGCAAAAGGAGGTAATACAGGAGCCTCAACTTTACCAACAGAGTCCCCTTATTACCCTACGATGCGCACTTTCAACTTCTAGTTGGGGCCCCCGTGTGTCCACCCAAAACTGGGGAAGGCACGAGGCCGCAGAACCTCGAGGCCAGGACACCAGGAAGCTAAAGAGGCAACGAAGCATGAAATAACTTCAACGCCATAAACTGGGCTTTCCCTTGGTAGCCCAGGATAACCAGATTATAACAAGGGCACCCTTTTTGTTCCGGCTGGTTTCTGTATAAGGGAACCTTGAACCCCCCCAAAAAAAAGGGCGGAAGGGTACCACTGGGCTACCAAGCTCCTGCCCACTGGGCATGCCTCCGACCTGGTAGATTTCAACGTGCCCATAGCTTCGGGCCACACACCGACTCTGCACTTGGGGGGTGTAGGGGAGGGCTTCCCAAGCCACTTTCCAAAAGGGTTTCGGGTTTAGGGTTTAGGGTTTAGGTTTCGGGTTTTGGGTTTGGGGGAAAGGGTTTAGGGTTTAGTTTAGGGTTCGGGGCGCATCAGGCAGCTTACCCGCCAGATGGCCGCAGAAGGAAGATGGTCAGCTCTCAATGCTGTAAATGATACTCTCCCCTCCCATTTTTGTTGGGCTCCCCTTGAACCCAATCCTCTTCTTGGGCTCCTGACATATTGAGCCAAGGGTACCTAAAGGGACCCTCAAGTTTAGAGTTGGCTTCGGTTCTCCAGTGTCCAATTCCCGGACCCCTTACACTCTCCAAATACCCAACCCCCAGCCTAACCCTAAACCCTGAGCCTTCTAAACCTAAATCCTAAACCCTACCCAACCTGTGCTTTGAAAAGGGCTGTTACTCAGAAGTCGGCGTCGATGCAGAAGACGTAGTTCCGCCAGTTCTGCTCCTGCCCCAACACAGGCAAGACAAATGACCGCTATATGGTCAGTTCTCTAAACAATTGTCCCGTTTTTTGGGTTCCCGAAAAGAGAGGGGCCGCCTTACAATAAGGCCCCCCAAAAGGGACCAAATGTTAGAAAAGTGGAGATGGTATAGGTTATGTTTTGGGCAGAGAGGGGTTATCAGGCGTTTATAGGGGTTCACGGCTTCAAGTGCGCAAATCCCCCCCCCCCCCCCCCCCCCCGAGTTGAGGGTCAGGTTCGCCCTCTAGGGCGAGCCATGTGTACAGTGCTCTCTTCATTGTGGTCCCCTTTGGGGGGTTATAAGGGTTTCCTGTGTTGATGCGGACCCTTCTATTTGGGTACACCACAACTAGGCCCCTGCCTGGCCATCATCCCGACCTGCCGTAGCCGCAGAGATCCCAGCCATCACGCCCGCCTTCTGATACTCGGCCACCCTCCTTGCAGCGGAGTTCAGGGTTTAGGGTTTAGGGTTTAGGGTTCATGGTTCATCAGGCGTATAGAGTTTGGGGCTTAGCGTAAGGGCTTATAGGGTCGACGTGCTCCGCAGCAAAAGTCTGAGCCCTCAACCCAGCAAGCAAAAGACACGAACGCCGCGGGCTTTGAGGGAGCCTGGGGCTTGGGGGGACCGCAAAGCGTGACTCAAAGAGTGGATTTGGTTGGACGCTGAAAGTCGCTGAACGTCGGCTGAACGGGGAATCTCTGAGCCGAGGGTCTTCTCGTGGAAGTTGGACTTTCCCTGAAGCGAGATCAGCTCCATCCAGTCGAAAGGATTCCTTGTGGTAGCCAGGCTTGGCTCGAGGGGTTCAGGGTTTGGGGTATAGGGTCGGAAGAATTACTAATGTTGCTCCCTTTTTTGGTCCCTATATGAATATGCTATAGTGACCCTCTAATTATTAAGGCCCCTATAGTATTCTTGCAGTTGATGCTCAATGTGCAGAGAAGGCTCGCCGCATGAAAGAGCTTTGAGTGGCCCAGAGAGCACAGCAGTCGATCGGCCACAAATTCCTGGGATGCAGTCTTGCACCGTCAACCAGCTCGTCAATCAGGATGGGCTATTAGGCCCCATAATCCCCATAATCAACCCTATAAAGGGCCTTTTTGAGGGGTATAGGGTACAGTAGCCCATCCTGGAATCAAAGGGGATCTGCAGGGAAGCTACTGCTTGACGTGCCGCTTTCCTCTTGTCGCGGGTCTGGCAGGGGTGGCTTGCTTGGTCCACTACAGAGCTCTTCACCCCACACCCTCTCGCCACGCACGTCCGTTGCCGTCATTGTCCGTCATGCACTTCCGCGGTGTGGCAAGTGGATTGTGTGAGCTTGAGCTGGGTGGAGGGACCCGGACGGGATTCGGATCTTGGGTCAAGCAGCGGCTCTGATAAACTAATTCCGCTTGTGCCATAATTATGTTTCTTGCAAGTCAGACTCGCAAATAAACTATGCAGTACAAACCCCTACTGTTTGTGGAAGGGGAAATATGTTGCCATAGTCGGCAATCGCGGGGCCGACTGCTCCAGAAACAGCGTTCCCCCCCCCCTCCCCCCACTGCCGTCTGCTTGAGACGCTACATGCAAAGCACTGTAGGGATCAGAACGGTCTTGCAGAATCAACTTTCGATGCACGGCGAGCTTGACCCTTCCAGAATTCACAAGTAAAGCTTCCTACAAAGAGGCGCATCTTTTCGCCAGTACTCCGACAAACGAACCCTGCATCCGGAATGCCCTTGTGCCGCGTTGCAATGTATCTGGCCATCATCTCGGCATTCATGCCCAGCAGGTTACAAGGCAAGGCTTCGCAGATAAATTTCCTGGAGGTGACTGGCAGTGGCGAAGTTGTAGATGGCTAAGGCAAAAGAGGTCCCATGTAGCAGGACATGTCGTAGTGGCATGCACAAGGAATGCTAATCCGAAGAGGTCGGAAAAGGACCTGGCATGGCGGTCCATGTTACCTGCCTGGCAAGGTCTTGCATTCAGGGTCCCTTGCAGGGGTCACTCCCAGTATCCGTTGACAATGCAACCGAAAGCCCGAGGCCACAGAACAAGCATTTAGTCCAGCTTGGCAAGCTGCAAACTGAAACCTTCCCCCCCCCCCCTCCCCCCCCGATCATTCCCGGGGGCCTCTCTGCCTCTACCGCCCCGCGCACGATGTCATGCACAACATCCTCTGGCAGCGGGTTCTGCAGCATGCCTGAGGCAAGGGTGTGTATGCGCTTTCGGATCACGCGGAGGGCAGGGCACGGAGGGCAGGGCAGCACCAGAATCCCTGCATCCCACCCCAACACCTCCATGAAACAAAGAGCCCGAAGCGCATGGACTGCAATAGCAAGTGGCTATAGACAAGGCAGGCGAAGTCTGCATGGAGGCCCTCGTCACGCGAGATGAGCCTCGATGGGTTGCTTCGAGGCTTTAGGGGTTCAGGTACGTTGCAGCTTAGGAACTAAGACCAGGCGTGTAAGGTTTGCAGGCGCCCATCCTCCCTAAGCCATGAGCCATCAACTCAAGACATCTTCTCCACGAAAACCCTAAACCCTGAACCCTCAAACACAGTGGTTCACCTCATTTTGTCTCATATGTCTACGGTGTCGCAGGTCCATTTCGGGTTTAGGAAGTTTTGGGTTAGGGATGCCTTAGGTTTGGTCAGAGTAGGAAGAACTCATTGAAGCACCTTGCGATGTAGACTATTAAGGATATTCTTCTCGAGTTGAGGAAAGGTCCAGGAAACATCCGGGATTTCCGGCGAATTAAGGAAAGCCAAGAAAAACCACAGAATGCTATGGAAAGCTATGACCATCTATGAACAACTAAGACCGGCTACGAAGAGCTATAAAAAGGCTAAAGAATTCCGTCCATCTTGCTTGCCTCAATATCTCCTAGCACACGCTTTCATTTTCGACAAAGCGAAGCATTTCCTGCGCTCTCGCCGTTGGCTTTTTGGGGGCCTCCCGATCTCAACTTCCAGTTTGCTATGACAGTCTCGACACATAAGGCTGGGAACATCTAGGAAAAGCTAGACAAAAAACTGGAAAAAACGCCAACAAAAGCAGAGAAACCCAAGAACAACATACTAGACAAAGCCAATAAAAAGTGCTAGAAGGCTAGAAATCGGACCGTCTAGAAAGCTCGAGCAACTCGGGGAGCCATAAGATTCATGCACTCAAGGTTTCTGCATCAAAGTATCACCCCATGAGTCTCCAACATCATGCGCTCTGAAAGATGAACACAATGTCCTTCCAGAAGGGACTAAATCACATCAGAGTGATCTGTGTAGCAATAGGTAGGTATGAACAAACTGTCGAGCGTGTAACTCATGCGTACATGGAACCCACATCCTTCCAGAAAGGTTTCGTCAGCATCATGTGAAATCTGCATGGCAACATGTCTGCGCGTAGCTGCT